GCACATCCCCAGCAACATCCACGGCAGCAGCATCCTCCACAGAAATACCACTATCAGCTGCGAGGACAGCCTCAGAGGAGCCGCGCTACCGCCGAGAGAATCGAGCGAGGCATTGCCATCGGCCCTCCAGTCGGCCTTACCACCACTGCTAACAATAATACGGCCTCTCCCTCTGTGCGTCCAGAGACTCCCTCGGACCAGCATCAGCATGCAGCCATCAACACTCCGCAGTCAGAGCACACTCCGGCCTCGTCCCGTCCTCCATCCGCTCTTGACCATGTCATTCCTACTTCCCCCACATCTATATCTACCTCTGGAGTGACCACCTTCGGGTTCATGCATGTCGTCTGCATCCTGCTGAGCATCATGATGGCACTTAACGGCTACCTCCTTCGCGACGAGATCGCCTCTGCCGCCCGGTCCATCCTCTACTCTCCCTCCGGACACTATGGAATGCCCAACTGCACCGAGAGCATCGGCCAGATGCTGGCCACCGTCGACCAACGCCTGACTTCCATGACCAAGGAGATCTCTTTTCTCAAGCAGGAAGTCAACAAAGCTACTCCTCCACCTGCATTACCAAAAGCGAACCCCCTGGAGCCACGTCGACCCAACTTCTTCTCTCTGGGCTTCGGTGCCACTGTCGACCCTTACCTGAGCTCCCCTACCCTGTCGTCTACCAGGAGCTTCCTCGACCGCCTCCGCCGTTTTGCAGGCGGCATCCGCCCTGGCCCTTCCCCTGTCTCTGCCCTGCAGCCCTGGGACGAGATTGGCGACTGCTGGTGTGCGTCCACCTCTACTTCTCCTGCTTCTGCTTCCAAGAAGGAAGACAAGATCCAGCTCTCCGTCGAGCTTGGCCGCCCCATCGTCCCCGAAGAAGTGATTGTCGAACACATGCCGCGAGAGGCCACCCTGGACAACGGGGCCGCAGCTCCTCACCTGATGGAGCTCTGGGGAGAATACACGGACGCAAACACCGTTGATGAAGTGAGATCGTCCCTGGCAGCAGTGTGGCCTGGAGAAGCCGAGTCCGGCTACGCCCACGAGCCGTCGCTGGGCCCATCGTTCGTCCGTCTTGGCCGCTGGCAGTACGACATCCATGCAGCTCATCACATCCAGCGGTTTAGCGTTGCTGCGGCGTCGGTCCACGATCTGCCTGCCACCAGCAAGGTGGTCGTTGTCGCGAGGTCCAACTGGGGCCAGCGAGAGTACACCTGTCTCTACCGGCTGCGACTACACGGACGTCTCTAGCACTCCGTACTTCTCATGTACTTCTACTTCTTCTACTTCTTTTGTTATGGCGCTACTGGCCTGCCGTCGCTAGCATGTCATCTTAGAAATAATCAAAGGCATCAAGACAAGACGGCCGTTCGTCTCAGATAGACTGCTGGTTCCCGATCTCCTTCTCCTTCGGCTCTCCCGGTTTCACCATCTCTCGTCTCGTCTATCCTAAACACTTCATCTACTGCCTTTTCATCTATCTCATCTTCCCGTCTATCATCCAAGTCACCCCGACTATCGCCGCCATCGACTGTCGCTAGCATGTAAGTAACTCGCAGTAACTGACTAGGGCGACACGAGGCTTGCCCGTCTCCATCCAACGTCCCGCGACAGGGATGAGAAGTAACAGTCGAAGTCTTCTTCTCTTCTCTTGTTATTCTCTTGTTATTCTCTTGTTATTCTCTTGTTATTCTCTTGTTATTCTCTTGTCTGCATCTCAGGAGTTCTCTCCTTTCCTCCTCGTCTAGTCAAAGTAATAACATCAGAAGAGCAATCCTAGAGCAATCATAGAGTAATCCTAGAGCAATCCTAGAGCAAGAGTTCATCTCGTCTTCGTATCTCGTCTGCTCTTTGTGCTGCTTGACTGAGTTTCAGCCACGGACGAGCGGAGGCGGGCCGGTGGAAGGGCAGACAGAAGAAGAAGAAGAGAAAGAGAAGAAGAAGACAATTAAGTAGAGAAGAAGAAGAGAAGTAGAGAATCAAAGAGTAGAAGAATAGAAGAATAGAAGTAACTGACAGAGAGAGAGAGAGAAGTCGAGTCCATCTTCGAGTCTTCGAGTCTTCGAGTCTTCTTCGTCTTCTTCGTCTTCTCTTGCCTCCCCCTGAGCTGCTTCTCTTCTTCTTCTTTGCAGCCACGAAGAAGCAAAAAGAGGTCTTAGTCTTCTTCTCTAGTTATTCTCTTCGTCTCTTCTTCTTCTTTACTCTGTTATTCTCATCTTCTCCTACTAAATCTTCCTTGGCGTCTCCTTTTCTCGGTTTCAAGCGAGACTTTTCGCTTCTGCTTCTGCCTCGGATTCGGATTCTGATATCACATCGACTTCTTCTTCTTCTCTTCTTCTTAGCTTCATCTCTTCTTCTCTTCTTCTCAGCTTCTTCTCTTCATCTCTTCTATGCGCTGTCTCGCCTCGACGTCGTCGCTCCATCGGTGACGGGCCTGCATCGTCACATCCACGACCTCCAGCATCCCAACATCGCCATCACGACCAGCAGCAACACCGCATCTCCATCGACGACCTGAGGGCATGGCCCAGTCCCCCCCGGCCTCGCCCTCCCGCGCTGCCTTCAACCGCCCCGTCAGTCTCATCATGCGCCCGTCGCGGAGCAGCAGTCGCATGAGCGTCGGCAGCGTCGCCAACTCCAACCGACACTGCGGCAGCGGCATCTCGGACGAAGACGCCAGGACCGCCGTCAAAGTCGGTAGGCTTACACCCGCTCATCACACTCGTTCATCATCTGTACAGCATCAAGATGGATGTTACTGACTGGTTGTCTTCAGTCGTCCGCGTTAGACCCCCGCTGCAGCAGTCAGACCCGGGCTTCGACCTGATCCCGCAGCGGTTCCAGCGGCCGACGGTCCATGTCACCTCGCCGACCTCGCTCGCCATCGACGCCCCCCAGGGCCGCAAGCTCTTCGTCTTTGACCGCGTCTTCGGCGAGAGCGTCGACCAGGAGGGCATCTGGGACTACCTGCACGACAGCGTCAACTCCTTCATGCAGGGCTACAACGTCTCCATCCTCGCGTACGGCCAGTCGGGCGCCGGCAAGTCCTACACCATGGGGACCTCGGGGCCCCCTGAGCAGCACGACCCTAAAGCAATGGGTGAGCCTCTACTCAATGGTCTACTCAATGTTCTACTATGTATATATACTGACGATGGTAGGAATCGTGCCGAGGGCGGCGCAGATGCTGTTTGAGAAGCTGACCAGCTCGCCCACGCACAGCAGGAACTTCTCGGGCTCGCCGGTATCAGGCCTGCGCACCCCCCAGCGATACTCCTCGGCCTCGTCTTTTGGCCGTGTCTCGGACAAGCCCTGGCAGATGCGAGCGACCTACGTCGAGGTATTCCCTTCTCCCTCTCACATGTTCTGTATTCCTCTCTTTTTTTTTTTTCTCTTCGTGCCGGGGTTGGTGCTAATATATGCAGATATATAATGAGCAACTGAGAGACCTGCTGCTGCCAGAGTCGACCCCCCCGGGAGAACGCAACACGGTCACCATCCGCGAGGACACCAAGGGCCGCATCATCCTCACCGGCCTGCACCAGGTCGCCATCAACTCCGTCGACGACCTCATCAGCGCCCTCAACTTCGGCTCGGCCATCCGCCAGACCGACTCCACCGCCATCAACGCCAAATCGTCTCGCTCCCACGCCGTCTTCAGCATCAACCTCGTCCAGCGCAAAGACGGTTCAGCCGGCCTGCCGCTCTCTGCCCAGGAGAAACGCTTCTCCATGCCTGACTCTGCTTCTCCCGGAGACCAGGTTACGATTGATAGTAAACTGCATTTCGTCGACTTGGCCGGCAGTGAACGCCTCAAGAACACAGGGGCCTCAGGAGAGCGTGCCAAAGAAGGCATCTCCATCAACGCAGGCCTCGCCAGCCTCGGGAAAGTCATCTCGCAGCTCTCCTCCCGCCAGCAGGGAGCCCACGTCTCCTACCGCGACTCCAAGCTCACCCGCCTGCTCCAGGACTCCCTCGGCGGCAACGCAATCACCTACATGATCGCCTGCGTCACGCCGCCCGAGTTCCATCTCTCAGAGACCCTCAACACCGTCCAGTACGCCCAGCGGGCCCGCGCCATCCAGTCCAAGCCGCGCATCCAGCAGATCACAGACGAGAGCGACAAGCAGGCCGTCATCGAACGCCTCAAGGCCGAGGTCGCCTTCCTCCGCCAGCAGATTCGTAACGCGGACGGGGGCGAGAGGGATCGTCGCGCTCTCACGCCCCAGGAGCGGTCCGACCGCCAGAACGAGCGCGAGCGGGAACTCCAGAACCACCTGCTCGACGTCCAGGAGAGCTATACCGCCCTCAGCCAGCGCCATGCGAAGCTCATCTCAGAGCTCACCAAATCATCGACTTCTGATGGCAACGGGGCCGACGACGGAGGGGACGCCTCCATGGAGCGCCTCAAGCGGTCTCACTCCTTCGCCGAGTCCGTAGAGCAGGTCGTCATGGAATACGAAAAGACCATCCAGTCCCTCGAGTCCTCCCTCTCCCAGACCAGAGCTTCCCTCTCAGCCACCGAAAGCAGCCTGCTCGAACGAGAGACAAAATGCGCCTACATCGAGACCGTCAACGGCCAGCTCCAGGCCCGCATGCAGAAGATGCTCGACCGAGAGGCCAACACCGAGAGCTACCTGCACGACCTCGAGTCAAAGCTCGACAGCCATGCCACCGGCGAAGAGAAGAACGCTGCCATCGTCGCTGAGCTCAGAAAGGAGCTCAACCGCGCCAGAGAGAACGAAGCCAGCTGCGAAGACTACATCTCTACCCTCGAGGAACGCCTCGCCGAAGCCGACCAGGACATGGAGCTCATGCAGTCCGAGATGGACCGTCTCGAGCATGTCATCGACCGCCAGCGAAGCCTCGGAAAGCTCGACAACCTCCTCTACGAGCTCGACCATGTCCAGAACGGCCATCCCCCGGCCCGTAGATCCGAATATGAGTATCCTGCTGTTGGCGTCCACGACTCTAGGAAGCTGTCCTCCGCTGGCTCGAGTTCTACCGTCAGACCCAAGAAGACTACTCGCACCAGGACGCCCTCGCTCGACGTCCTCACCGAAGCTGTCGAGACCGCCATCCCAGAGTCTGATGATGACCTCCTCCTCCCGGCCGACGGCTCGACTCCCTCTTCCATCCAGGAAGAAACCGCCCTCGACCTTGCCCGAGACGACGCCGGCCTCGCTGCCCTCGAGAGAGCCACCCCTACCAACTCCACCTTTGCCAGAGACGCCCACGACGATGACGATGAATACAACGACAACGACAACGACGAACCAGAGCCATACACGCCCAGCGCCGCTCAGTCTCAGTTCGTCGCTGAAAAGCTCGACAGCGTCACCCAGGAGCTGTTCGACCTGCGCATCCAGCACGACCACTCCATGAACGAGTACGCCCTGCTCAACGCAAAATACCAGGAGTCCCTGCGTGCCATGGCAGAGCTCCAGGACGCCATGGACGAGATCCGCCACAGCCAGCGGTCCCAGCACCCCGTCCAGCCCGCCGTCGCTTTTTTAGACACCAAGATCGCTCAGAACGGCCGTCGTCCAAGGGTCAATGGCAGCACAGCCTCCAACGGCAATGGAGTCTCTTCCTATTCCAATGGTGGACAAACATCACGCTCGCTCTCCTCGGAGTTGTCCTCGGCAGAGCAGGCCAACAGCTCATCCTTCACTTCTTCCACCACTACTAACAATACAGAAGTCGAAGAAGCGGAGCAGGCAGAACAAGCCGAAGAAGATGAATCCGAAGAAAGCGACGTCGTCAAGAAACTCAAGGCTGAACACCAACAGGCCCTCGATGCAGTCACCAGCAAATTCAACGAACTCCAGATGGAGCACGAAGACAGCCTCACCCTCCTCGAGAGCCTCAAGGACGAAGTCACCCGCTACAAGAACGCCGCCTCCTCGCCGCCACACACCCCCAACGTCATCCGCCGCATCACCAGCCAGAGCATGATGACCGTCGACCGCGCCCACAGGAACCTGTCGGCCCTCCGCATCCAGGCCGCCGAGGAGTTCGAGGGCCGGCCCGAAACCCTCCAGAGCTTCGACCAGAAGATCGACTCCGCCATGCGCGAACTCAACTCTCGCATGGAACGCATCCAGGCCCTCGAGGCCGAGAACAAGAACGTCAAGAAGGAAATGGAGACCAAGGCCACCATCATCTCGGGTCTTACCCGCGAACGATCCAGCCTGCAATCCGTCTCCCCCGTCGACATGACCGTGGTCTCTCAGCTACGGGACCAGATCGTCAATGCCGAGGGACAGATGAACGAGATGAGAGAGGCCCACGAAGCCAAGGAGCGCGAACTCGCAGAGGAACTAAAGTCCGTCAACGCCCTCGTTGAATCGCAAAAGGCCGAGCTGGACGCTCTACGCAAGGAAGTCGAGGAGTGGCAAGGAAAACACCGCCAGACCGCCGAGGAACTCGCTCTAGTCCAGAGCCGCCTCGAGGCATCAGAAAAGCAGGTCAAGGCCACCGTTGCCGAGCTCGAGGCCTCCCTGGCCAACGTCGATGCCATGCGTGGTAACCACGGCAAAGGTGGCGTCTCTGCCGATGAAGCCGCCGCCGCCGCTGATGCCCTGGAGAAAGAGAGGTCTCAACACCAGGAGCTAGTCGACAGCCTCAAGCAGGAGATCGACGGCCACAAGGCCACTATCGGAGCACATCTGGCCAAGATCGCTACTCTCGAGAGCGACCGTGACGGTTCTCGCGCCGCCCTGGACGACCTCGCGGGCTCAGAAGACCAATTGGCCTCTCACAAGGCCCGTGTAACCGAGTTGTCCAGGGACATCGAAGTCCACAAATCCACCGTTGAAGCGCAGCAGTCCCAGCTCGAAACCCTCCAACTCACGCACAAACGCGAACTCCTCGAGCTCGAGTCCAAGACCAAAGTCGCCGCCGAAGCACAGTTCGAGTCCCAGCTCGCCGAAAAGGCCGCCGCTCACCAAGCCGCCCTCGACGACCTCCGCGCCGAACTCACCAAGTCCAAGGACGAATCGGCCCAGATTCTCGAGACCATCTCCTCCTTGTTCAAGACCCAAAGCCCCGTCACCCCTTTCACCCTGCAGGACCAGCTGCAGGACATCCTCTCGCAAAAGGATCAGTTCGCAGAGAAGTACTCTGCTCTCATGGACACTAACGAGTCCCTGACCCGCCAGCTAGACGAGAAGACCGAGACTCACTCCGCGCTCGAGAAGCAGGTCGTCGACCTCAAGAACAAGGCCAACGAGCACGAGATGAAGGTCAACGATCTGGCCGTGCTGGTGGCTAACCATGAAGAAGCCATTGCTGCCAAGGAGGCGACTATAGAGGAGATCAAGGCCGAGAAGGAGAAGAGCATCCGTCTTGTCGAGGAGCTGGAGGAGCAAATCACCTCTTCGTTTGACCAGCATAACAACCGACTCTCGGTCATCCAGGCCGAGAAGAGCATGGCCCTGGAAGAGGCCAAGGCTAAGATTGCCGCGCATGACAAGGAAATTGAGACTTATCGTGCTCGTATCGAGCAGTTGGAGGTACTTCCCCCCCCTGTCCCTTAACATATACCCGGATTTGTATTCTAACATCAACAGGCACAAACACGCCCCATCTCGCCGGAGGGAGGCCACATCGACCGCGGCTCCGGCTCCATCTCAACCAACCTCCGCAAGAGCTCATCCGCAGCCTCGCTTCCCTCCCCACCGCCCGCCATTCCGCTCCCTCCCCTCCCCAATATCGCCGCAGCCGCAAATCCAGCAAGCATCTCGCCGCCCTCATCCCGACACCAGAGCAAAGAACTCGCCAACAACCAATTCGTCGAGGACCAAGAAGCCCGCATCCGCACCATCGAGAAACACCTGCACGCCGAGAAGCAGCTCACAGCAACCCTCGAAGAAGCCCTCGGCGACCTCGAGGCGCAAAGCAACAAAGTCAAATCAGACATGGAACTATGGAAGAAGAAAGCATGGCAGCTCGAGGAAGAAGTTACTACTTTGCGATCGGAGCGTAACTCTGCTCGTCTCTCCCTGCAGGCTGTCGAGGAGGAACGAAGCGCTCGGCGAGAAGCAGAGGCTGCCCGCGCCCATTTGGAAGAGAAGATGAACGCCATCAGCAAGAAGAAGAAGAAGAGCACGCTCAACTGCTTCTAACCTAACCCCCCTTGCTCGCTTGCTGGCTTTATTGTCTGTATTTTATTGTGTTTCACGCCGTTTGATGAGTCTACTATGCCTGGGCCTGAGTCGGAGTCGGATGATGTGGTTGATGGAATACACGGGATGTTCCGTCAGCCAGGTATCTACAACCGTCCCCCCCCTTTTTATCTTGTCTCTTTCTTTTTTCCCTTCTATATTTCTTCCCCTCCTCCTTCTTCCCTCTACGTTGATTGGATTGGATTGGATTGGATTTCTCTTATTTATCTCCTTTTTTTTTTCCTTATAATCTGCTATTTTGATATCCCTTGTTCTGCTCCTGTTGCTGTCTGTTCCTGCGATTGTTGTCGACTGTGTATAAAATGCCCTCCCCCCTCCCCTGCCCTGCCCGCTCTATGATTAGATGCTAAAGAGCAAAGAATTCCCCCCGCTGCCCCCCCCTTTTTTTTTTTCTTTTCCTACTTCGTTTCGATGTGACGGATTTGGCACTTGACCGTTGACTTAAATGACGTACTCTTTTTCTCCCCTTATAAAGATACAGATACAGATTCCCTCCACGCTTATGCTTACGGCCGGAATTTCCCTAATAGTTCATTTCTTTTTCTAACCCCGTTTTTTCCTTTCCTCCTTGTTTTTTTTTTTTTTTCTTTTTTTTTTCCTTTTTGCTCTTTTCTTTTAATCTTAGTAACTTATTTTTTTCTTTTTTATCGAGCTGTTTACTGCTTATCCAAGTCATACACGGCACGGCACGGCATAACCACCCTTACTTTATTTGTTGACGAAGAGAAGACTCAAGATTACAGAATGTCCTGGCCCCGGGGGGCTTTTTTTTTTCTTTACTCAACTTACTTTTTTTTCTACTATATTCTTATTGTTTATTACTATTCCTACTTTTCTATCTTTCTTCTTTCTTCTCCTTTCTAGTAATTAGTTGATGTCGTCTAGATGTATCTATCTATTTACTTCGATTCTCTTATTTTCCTCCTCAACGGCTTTTTGATATCACGTGATGCGTTATGACTTCATCTGCGAAAGTTGACAAGTAAACAAAGCCGACGACGACGACGACGACGACGATGAAGTTGAAAACGGGACAGTTGAGGATATGAGGATGAGAGACAGTCATAATGAAAAACCGAAAACGATATAACATCATCTTCGTCCATCCCGACCTCGGCATCGGCGGCGCGGAACGCCTGATCCTCGACGCCGCCCTCGCCCTCCAAGCCCGCGGCCACAAGATAACCATCTACACCTCCCACCGCGACAAGAGCCATTGCTTCGAAGAAGCCCGCGATGGAACGCTGGATGTGCGCGTACACGGCGACAAGCTGTTTCCCGCACACATCAGAGGCCGATTCCACGTTCTAATGGCAATACTGCGCCAGCTCAGCTTGATCTACTACCTCTCTGAAAGCACGGCCAACAACGACGAAACGCACGACATTTTCATAGTCGACCAGGTGCCGGCCTGTGTGCCTGTGCTACGAGCGTTAAGGGACCTAGCTGCGCGCCGCAAAACGAAGAAACAGCGCACGCTATTCTATTGCCATTTCCCGGACCAGTTGCTTGCGCGGCGAGGGGAGGGTGGTATGGCGCTACGGACGCTGAAGACGCTTTATCGCTGCCCGTTCGATTGGTTTGAGGGCTGGGCTATGAGTGCGGCTGATAGGATTGTGGTTAATTCTCGGTTCACGGGCGGAGTGGTGCGGGAGGTGTTTGGGAATACCGGTGAGGATGTCCAGGTTGTTTACCCGTGTGTGGACACTGGACGAAGCACAAAGGAGGTATCCGTGGCCAAGGTCGATGATGGAGGGGAGTTATGGGGTGGGTTGAAGATACTATTAAGCATTAATCGGTTTGAGAGGAAGAAGAACATCGAGCTTGCATTGCATGCGTATCATGGCATTGCGGAGGAGGATAGAAAGGGCACGAGGCTTGTTATCGCTGGTGTGTTACCCTCTTTCTTGATTAACCTTGGTGCATATATTTGCTAACGACTTACAGGCGGGTATGATAATCGAGTCTCGGAAAACGTACAATATCACAAAGAGCTGGATGCACTAGCTACTCGACTCGGTTTCCAAACAGCTACCTCCCAGACCGTCGTATCAGCCATGTCCGTCCCAGACTCGATAAACGTCCTGTTCCTCCTTTCTGTCCCATCCGCATTTAAAGAAACCCTGCTCTCCTCCTCGAGTCTGCTGCTCTACACCCCTTCATACGAACACTTTGGCATCGTCCCCGTCGAGGCAATGTATGCCGGTCTGCCTGTTCTCGCAGACAACACCGGCGGACCCCTAGAAACCATTGTCGAAGGGAAAACCGGCTGGCTCAGATCATCGAAGGAGATCTCGGGCTGGACAGAAGTCATCAGTTATGTTCTGCAGCGCATGTCGTCCGCCGAGCGTCTGGATATGGCTTCCTTTGCAAAACAGCGGGTTGAGAAAGAATTCTCCCTTCAGGCTATGGGCGAAAGACTCCAGAATCAAATTGACGAGATGGTCCAGGCAGAAGACCGTGCTTTTCTCCCTCTTACCGCGATTCTTGGACTTGGCCTGGTGCTCGGCGTGGTATCTTCTCTTCTCATCTGGCTGGCCATAAATTGAAATTCTGAATTATGACGCAGAGGATTGTAAAATGATGAAATGAACGAGCGAACTCGTTGAGTTATATATGTATATTCCGAGTTCCGTACCCTATCGCCTCGGCAAAACGTGCATAACCATTAGATATAAGAGACAGGCTATGCAGGAGTCACGTCCTATCTCTGCAAAGGGGTAATCAACGCAACATAATTCCAATTGGTATTGGATTTGTTCATTCTAAGGACCTAGGGAGTATTCTGGAGAAACAATTCAGCTCCTGGCATAAGACGTGGCATCTCTCAACATATCTAGCGTATCATCCAGGAAACATGATGTGAATATCCTCCTGACTCAGGAAGAATCAGAATCCAGAAAATAGGAGAAAATTCCATTGGTGTCCGAGTGAAATGATCAATATATCATGGGCATATAGAAATTTACAAAATAGATTGATACCTTGCAAATTTATACATATTAGATGGTCTCCAGTGTCCTGATGAGTGGGATTACTGAGAAGATGACGAATATATGGCAACTCGAAGATGGAGCTCGTAGCTGCATTTGGAAAAGATTCAGTCAGTGAATCAGCGTGTACTCGGTAGAAATGACTGCTTAACCCTGTGGCGGTATGTGATGAACCACTCAGTAGATAACCAGGGGTGTAACCGTCCAATTGTCAGCATCGAGGCCAGGATGTCTGCCTGAGATATGCCTCCGTGTATAGCCAGGATTTGGCCGGGATGAGGGATTCCCCGCGTCCAAGAGATATTTCGGTTAAATTCTTTCATGGATGCATTGCTTGTTAGCTGGTGGAGCAACTCGATCCCTTGCGATGATGCAAAAGCTGTCCGGGGGATGCGCAGAAAATCTTAGATACGACCAACGCCCAACTGGCAGACGGCTTCGGCATGGGCATGAGGTCCAAATGTAACCTCCTTGCCAGCCCATCATCTCCGGCACACGAACAGCATCCCGAGCCCAGAGTTCTGGCCCGGCACAGTCTTTGTGATTGACGGGGGGACAGGGAGTTCGGAATACGGATTACGGACTACGGAGATAATATGGCATTGCTCAAGAGCAAGAGCCAGCATTGTTGACATTTCCAGCCATCTCGTGGGATCAAAAGTCATATTTGGAGTTTAGCACTGTTGACCTGCCTGCTCCCTGTCGATGGCTATGGGCCCTACATGGACCCCTACCTGGCCGCTGGCGTGCTCGCACACATGATAACGCCTTGATGGGGAAGCTCGGGGTGCTGTCAATTTTTAGGAATTCCGCTGCTGGCGCTCTCGTGCTGGCATCAACGATGGATCAGTGGTGGTAGCGGAGTATGGAGCAGTGCTCATAATATGGGCCCTCCTATGGAGTCACACTTCGCGCCCTGGCAGCTTGACGGCACAACAGCAATATCAGAGGATTTTAGCCTTTACCTATATCGTGTTCCCCAGTTAGCGACGAAGCTAGAAAACGGCATACCCTAGCTGGCGCTGTTCATACTTTCTTGTCGATCCCCTTCAGCAGCTTCGACGGTCGGCATTCCTTGACTCGCCCGCTGCTGTGACCAATATGAGCTCGCTGTTGGTCTATTCACCATGCCAACACTCGGTTGCCATTATTAATTAAATATACGAGGGAGGGGAAGGGCGTTGAGCTGCCAGGGATGCCCGATTGTTGATTCTGGATTGGGGTGAGATTCCTCCTATGTTTATAAGTGTGCGGATGTCCCGGCTGTGATTCTATGGCTTGAGCTTCTCAGGCAACGAACAGCCAATTCCTCTCCATTTATACCTTCACACAATGGCTGCCCTCTTTGTCTCGCTCCTGGCCCTCACCAGTCTTGTACCGGTACAAGGTGCTGCCACTGTACCTCAGACAGATAACGCAAAGCGTGCTGAGCGAGTACTTAAGAGCACCCCGCTGATAGATGGGCACAATGACCTCCCTTATGCTATCAGGAGGTCTACCAATGACCAGATCTATGACGGGAAGCTGCCCTTTGAAACCTCACTGAAGGGCCATACCGATCTACCCCGAATGCGAAAGGGCCGCATGGGTGGACAGTTCTGGAGTGTGTACATTGCTTGTCCCTCGGACCCTAACGCTCCAATTAATACACCAAAGGTATGAAATAATGTATGTATCTCATTGAATACTGTGTCCAGTGCTAATGTGGGTATCATCAATAGTTTGCGACTAGGGACACTCTAGAGCAAATCGATGTTGCAAGGCGACTTGTAGACAAGTACTCCAAGGATCTTATGTACTGCGATAACCCTGGCTGCGCAAAGAGAGCCTTTAGAGAGGGTAAAATCGGCAGCTTTATTGGTATTGAGGTATAGTACTGTTTTTTCGTGTGGCCCCTTACCTACATGTATACTTACTCCAGATGTACATGTAGGGCGGCCACCAAGTTGGAAGCTCCATTGCGGCCTTGCGCCAGGCCTTCTATGCCGGAGCTCGCTACATGACCCTCACCCACAATTGCGACAATGCATGGGCAACAGCTGCTTCCACTGTCAGAGCCGGCAAGCCTGACTTGGGCATGACTGACTTTGGCCCCGCCTTGATCAAGGAGATGAACCGCCTCGGCATGCTCGTCGATCTTTCGCACGTTTCTCATCAAACCATGAGAGACGTTCTGAAGATCACCAAGGCACCCGTCATCTTCTCCCACTCTTCCGCCTATGAAGTCTCAAAGCACCTGCGCAACGTTCCAGACGACGTCCTCAAGACCGTTGCCAAAAACAACGGTGTTGTCATGGTCACTTTCGTGAGCAGCTTCGTGAAGGTCGACGACCCCGATACTGCGGATGTCAACACCGTTGTCAAGCACATCTTCCACATCGCGGAAGTTGCCGGATGGGACCACGTCGGTCTCGGTGGCGACTACGACGGCACCACTGAGCTTCCAAAGGGCCTCGAGGTAAGTCTCCAACCGAACTGACATGCAGAATCAAAAGCAATAGACCGCTGACGAGTTCGAGCCTAGGACGTTTCGAAGTACCCATATCTCATCGAGAAGGTCCTTGAAGCCGGAGCCACTGAGGAACAGGCCCGCAAACTCGTTGGAGAAAACGTGCTTCGTGTCTGGACCGAAGTGGAGCAGATCGCAAAGAAGATCCAGAGATCCGGCGTTCTCCCTGTCGAGGAGGTCTGGAAGGGCAGGAATGGAACTGCTCTCTCTGAACGATCTACGTTCATTGAGGGACCCGCCCCGCTTGAGTATGGATGCGATTAAGGGGCTATTGTATTTATCTTGCATGAGATATCACGCCATTTTTAGACACGAAGTCGTGAATAATATACATCATTGTGCATACGTGGATATGTGGATATTGTAGATTTCGTTCGTCGTCGAGAAGATAATAATAAATAAATAAATAAATAAATAAAATATAAAATTGCTGTCAATTTAGACTTTTGGAGCTTACTTAAGGAGCCGTTGCTTAGTAATAAACAACACCACGTGATCACGCGTTTAAAGTGCTTTTTTTAGGCGCGAATTTTGTGTTTATTCAAGTTTCAGCCCGCGTTTATTGATGACGACAACGACAACGACAGAGACAGAGACAGTGGGACGGCGGCAGTGAGGAAAGGAAGGGAGACCTGCCGATACTTGGATATCTCCCTTTTTCCTTTTGGCCCAGCCGGAAACATTTTTGGGTGTTTCTTGGGATTGTTATTCTGGATAGTTTGTTTTGGTTGGTGGTTGCTAGGCAGAGGAAGTCAGGGGGCAGAAGTCAACATCACAGCGATGGATCAAGTCATCAGCTTATTGTCTTCCTCCCCAGCAGTCGTATCAAGACCGCCAAATGAGAGTCTGGAAGCCAGCTTTGGGGTGCTGGACAGTCCTCTGAATGCGGCGCCTGCGAAGGTAGACGACTCGCTGTTTGATTATGGCGATTTTCTCGACAGCTCGGCAACAAAGAGAAGGAAGCTGAGCCCCGCCGTGGATCAAAAACTTCATACCACTGGTCATATAACACCTCTTAAATCTCCCGGTTTTATGTTCTCGGACATCACGGATTTCAACAGTGTAGGAAATACCCCTGATATTCCTCAACCTAAGTCAAAGGCAAAGGAAACGGTCAACAAAACATCGACATCATGGGATCTTGCCCTGGATGACCCCGTTGTATGCTCATCCTCTGCGCCTAACAACCAAGCCCAAGAAGAAACTTCAAAAAAGCCAATAACTATAGTTATTGACGATGATGACGACGAGAATGATGACTTTCTGGGCTGTAACCTAGCACCATCGGATGATATCGATGACCACAACGACAATGAAGAGCTTTTCAATTTTGATGCCTCACAGTCATCAACGTTTGGTATTTCAAAGAAGACTACACTGCTTCTTGAACAACTTCGACGAGAGGCAGAGTCCAAGGGTAGATCAAAAAAGAAGAAGGTGGAAGATGATTTTGATTCTTTATCAGAAGGCGATGTATTGCCTTCAACGAAACAAAAGGCCGTGAGACGGCAGCCAAGCAGTCAAACGGCAGGTAAAAATGCAGACAAGACAGCGAAAGCACTGGAGCGAGAGGCAGCAAAGCTTCGCCGACAACAGGAGAAGGAATTGCAAAAGGAAGAAAGGCGGAAGCAGAAGGAAGAGAAGGAAAAGCAAAAGCGGATTGCAGCTGATATCGCAGAGGCAAACAAGTCGAAAGTGGACAAGGCCGTGTCGGTTGGAGAGATGATTGTTGACATCTCCTCTAACTTCCAGGACACCAGCATCGGCACTCAGACGGAGGAACATATGCGCAATTTGGGGGTGGAGATGAACTTTTCGTCCTCGCAGATGCCCAACATCGTCTCGTGGAGACGGAAAGTAACCGCGCAATTCACTGATGCAGGACATTGGGAGCCATGTGCGCCAACCATAAAAGCCGAAGGTCATGTACTGTGTTTTTTCACCGGGGACGAATTTGCCGAGATGGCTGTTGCATCTCCGGCCAGCAACAACACAGTCAAGGCATATTTCCGGAAAATAAGCAGAGAATACCCGAGCCGTAAACAGATATATCTCATTGAGGGCTTAGCTGCCACCATCAAGAAAGGCAAGAACTCGCGCAACCGGTCGTACCAGGCCGCTGTGCTGCAACAGATTGACAACAACCAGCCCAACTCAGGCGCTACTGAGCAGCCACCACCACCTGCAGGAGCAGCAACTGCAACAGCATCAGCATCATCCCAATCCAAGCGGAAGAAAACGAGCTCGAACAAAAGGACGGCCAGCACAACTCATGTGATTGACGAAGACGCCATTGAAGACGCCTTGCTTCAGCTGCAGGTCGTCCACTCATGCTTGGTGCACGAGACTGCCAACTCGACTGAAAGCGCCTCATGGATCAAGACCTTCACCGAACATATCTCGACGGTTCCCTATAGGCGGGAACTGATGAAGAGCCAGGATGCGTCGTTCTGCATGGATGTAGGACAGGTTAGGACTGGGGATGATGCGGGGGATGCATATGTTCGAATGATGCAGGAGGTCAGCCGTATCACGGCGCCGATAGCGTATGGCGTTGCTACGCAGTTTCCTACTGTTGGCAGGTTGGTGCAGGCGTTTGATCAGGGAGGTGCACTACTCCTCGAGGATGTTAAGGTATGTCTTTGAACCCGCCAGCCACCACCTTTTGAAGGACCATATTTTAATGAGCTGGATGGAGTAGAAATGTGCGAATAAGACTGGTGCCGTGACTGATGCACGGATTGGACCGGCTATTAGTCGACGGCTCTATACCATTTTTACCAGTATGGACCCGGCGTCTTCAGACGTGTGACTGTATCTTTTACTTTTCTTTTCGCTTCACCTTTCTTTTTGGTTTTGGGAGGTATCTTCAGGCATTATCGCTTTTGGACTTAACTTGAGCATGCATATTTAGATAGAATATGGTTGGAGGAATTTATTTGGTTGTTTGCTTCTAGTATATGATATTGAACACATGGGTATTCAATTGGTATATTGCACGATGAGGATGCAATGCAATGCAGCTTGCTGAAACAGAAATATATAGTAAAAGTAAAAATAAAAGATAAACCGAGAACCAAACGCCGATATGATCAATGGTAGATGTATATGTAGATGCATATATCGGTTTAGATTAAACCGGAATGCTTCGTCTCTTCCACCCTCTCCAAGCAACCATCCACATGCTGGCAGCAATCAAAACACCAATGACGCTGCCCACGGCCCAAAATCCATAGCACTTCCAGCCAAAGCACTGTCCGTTGTCGGAGACATTAGCATCATACTCGGCAGAGTAGACGGCTCCCGACAGACCAGCGCCGGGGGCCTGAATCATGGACACAATAGCCCAATTGGTGCCGAAGTTTTCCACGCCCCAGACAACCGAGATGATGATGGGGACAAGGGAGAAACAGGCGCCGTAGCCAAAGCCAACGAGGGTGGTTGTTAAGTGCAGGATAGAAGGGAAAGAGAGTGGGATGGGAGAGGAGAGAACCAAGTAGCCTAGAGAGACCAGGAGGGCGCAGGGGATGAGGAAGAAGAGACGGGAGAATGTTCGTCGGTCCGAAGTAGTTGATGCTGGTCTGGGAGCGAAGTAGTCTGATAGAGAGCCTGTGATGAGACGGGCGAGGGTAGAGGTTAGTGCCATTAGAGCTACGTGGGTTGAGGGCTCTCCTGCGGGTAAGGGAGTGCCTGGTTTGTCTTGGGCTGAGGGGGGTGACAGGGTGCTGGTAAGAGTGCCGACCTATTGCCTGTAGTCAGTATATAGAGATATATATAGAGATAGGGAAGGGTAGAAAACGGCGGGACTGACGTTGTTCATGTATGCCTCTCCCGGGCCGGAGATGAGGATGAAGCCGATGGAGAGCAGCCACATGGTCCTGTCGTGGAGGAAGAGCTTGGTCTCCTGGTTCAGCAGCCATGTCTTCTTCAGCTTGTCGTCCGGATGGGTATGATGATCTTGAGCATCGGTACGGGTATCCTCGTGGCCATGGCCAGCACGGAAAGTCCCATACTGCCCGTCCGTATCAACCAGCAGTCCACTCCGCTCGAGCTCCTCGACACCGACCTCGATAAGCTTCTCTTCGTCAACCACGTTCAGTGCAAATCCGCCTATAACTCCGACGGTAAAGGTGACGATGGCGAGAAAGACGAAGAAGCGGAAGACATCAACGTCTCCGTGGATAAGGTCTACTCCTGACCCGTCGCTGTAGGCGGTGGAATCTGCACCGCGGTAGACGAAGAACTTGGCCAGGAAGCTGTACCAGATGCCACTGAGCCCGTACGCAGCTATGGGGACAGCCAGCATGATGCCCTTGTGCTTGCTGGAGGCGTAGTTCTTTGCACTTGTGGTGACGGCAGAGAAGTACATGCAAGCTGTGGCTGCGCCGATGATGGCATAGGCGATGACCATGACGCCGAACGGCCAGCCGTGTGGCCTCGGGGGCCCGTCATTCTCAAGCAGGCCGACGAGCAGGCTGGCTGGGGGCCCCGAGCGGTAGGTAAAGGCTGCGAGCAGGTATCCAGCGCCGAAGAGGACGGCGGAGATGAAGGAGACGAGCGAGGGCCGGACTCTGTCGCAGAGGAAGCCGAACAACGGGGCGCTCAGGTAGGTGAGCATCTCCGCCGTAACGGCGATGACGTTGACCCGGAACTGGGTGTAGTGCAGACGGGTGAGCAGCAGCGGGCCATAGAGGGAGAATGCAGCTATTCCTCCAGCGGATAGTCTGTGGTACGTAGAGCCAGGTAGAGAGATTATATATTAGCCCGGGTGTTGCTGCTGTCAGAGGGAGGAATTCGACCTACGCGTTGAGGACGCTGGAGACAAAGGCGACCAGGCGGACAACCTCCTTGCGAGCGTTCTCTCTGTCTCTCTCTGTCTCTCTCGTCTGCGTCCTGACGAGCGGCATGTCTGGTCCGTCGGCGATGCTGCCGTCGTCGCTCTCGCTGTCGCTGTGACTGGCGCTGTCTACAGGTTTGGGCCGCCTGTCCGCCATCTTGCTGTCCATCGTCATGTTTGTCTCAGTCCCGTCCGTCTGCTGCTCGTCTTGCCGTCCCATCTGGTATAAATAGTCGTCCTCTAAGTCATGGTGACCTGGTCATGCTGATGGTCGTGGGTTGTTGCTGGTCTGGATGTGAATGCAGATGACGTCGGCTATTGAAGTCGTAAACTAATGAATATAAAAGCTCAGCCAGCCATCCAGTTACGACTGCAACGCCCACACACACACGACTTTGACAGCAAGCACTAACTACAGGAACTACAGACTGCGAGTAACTTCATCGACAGGAGCATCTTTAGCAGGCAAGGCAAGCCACTCAGCCAGGGGTTCGTCCATCCCTCAAGCCTCACTCTGCAGCTAGCCGGACCAGGCCCTCGACTAGTTGCATCCTCCCTCGACCTCAACCTCTCTCTACTTGGCTGCAGGCAGCCCGTCTGTATCTCATGTATAGCTGTCCGACTATAGACCAGATAAGAGGCCGACGGGACAGGCGAGGAGAGCACGATCTGGAGTCTGCATGCGAGACACCGTCGATAGGCGCCTGCAGAGCTACCAGCCCAGCCTTGGGGGGTCCGGCGTCCAGAGGTAGCGCCTTGTATATCGCTCATGATGTCATTTATCTTCTTCTTCTTCTTCTTCATCTTCTTCATCTTCATCTACTGTCGTCTGGTTGTCGTCGTAGGTAGTCTACCATCATCATCATCAGCAGCATCATCTTCAGTATCACCACCAGTATCACCACCAGTATCACCAGAGTATCCCGATGAGTATCACCAGCACCATCATCTCCGTCTGTCCAGTTCAGCCCTCTTGGTAGCGCATCTTCGTCCTGAAGCTGGCCAGGCACGTTCCGGGATGATTGGCGCGGTCAGGAAGAGCCCGTTGGGCCATGCTGGGCCATGCAGCGGTACTTCTGCCGCCCGCAAGATCTGTATGGCAGCAACAAGTCACTCGCCATCGCCTCGCATGGTCGACCCTTTTTCCGTCTCGTCTCGTCTCGTCTCGTCTTGTTCTCGTCTCCTCCAGCGGCCGTCGTCAGGATCGACCAGACTCGAAACACGTTGCGCAGGAAGCTCTCGTCTTTTGTCTTCTCGCCATCGTCGTCGTCGTCGTCTTCATCATCAGCCTGTCTTCCTCTTTATCAGCTTCTCTCCTCGTCCTGCTCATCGCTGCTGCTCCCTCCTTGCTCCCTGTTTCTCCTTCTCCTTAATCCCTCCTCGCCCTGTCACAGCCAGCAGCAGCCAAACGTGACTTTCTCTTAGGGCTTTTCCTGCCTCTCGCCAGCTTCATCTCTTCATCTCTTCTTCTTCTTCCTCTTCTCAGCTTCTCCTTGTGGCGCTGTCTCGTTTGCTTCCTCTCTTCCTCTCCCTGTCCTCGCCAGCCAAAAAGAAAAGTACTTAACGCTCTCCCTCCCCGTCGACCTCCACTTCTTCTTCTTCTTCTACCTTCTATATCTCCCTCTTCTTATCCCTTCTTGACTCTCTCACCAGCATGGCCGGCTTCGGCCTTCCTCGCCCGCTTCTTCTCCTCGCTTGATCTTTTTTGTCTCTTTCTTCTTCTTCTTTTTTTTTTTTTTTGCTTCTTCTCCTGCTTAGTCATCACTTCACGTGACATCCCTTTTTGGGCTTCTTTTTTTTCTTCTTTTTTTCTTTTTTTTTTTCGACTTTTTTTCGAAGCAACAAAAAAAAAAAAAGCGACGACGAGGAAGATAAAAAGAAGAAAAGAAAAAGCTTGAGAAAAAGAAGCACTCGCGGCGGCCTCAAGAGTGAACAGCAGGCGAGCGCAAAAAACAAAGCAAAGGGAAAGGAGAAAAGGTTGCTCTCGTATTCCGCAGTGAAAGTCCACCACCCCCAGGCCCGCCATCACTAACCATCCATAGTCAAACCAACCACAAACCTCCAACAACCAGCATCCTGCATATAAACCGCCTCGAGCCATTGAATAGACCGCTGGGAAATACGCTCTAGAGACACACAGCTGGTCGCCAATGTCCTCCCCATGTCAGCCTCCGCTCTTGCTTCCGACAACCGCGCCACGGAGCCCAGCAGCGCGTCTGCAGCAGACCCTACAACTGCCCTTCTAGCATCGTCACCTCCAGCAACATCCACTTCAGCACCGCCAGCAACCTCCTCTCCTGCCGCTACGGCACCGGAACCCGCTATCGATTCCCGTCTCTCGCCCTTCTCCGCTCCCTCAAAGTCGGTGCCTCCCTCGCCGCCCCAGACTCCCCTGATAAAGCCGTCGGCAGTGCCTCCGCTGCCAGACCACCACTCACACCCGTCCCTCAAGCGCACCAACACCTGTCCCGGCCTGACGCCCACCTCTTCCTCTTCCTCGGTCTCTACCTTTGCCGTCAAGCCGTCCTCGGGTGCACAGCAGTACGGCTCTCAGTCTCCCCAGCTGACGGAGCGGGACTCCATCTTTGCTACTCACTATCTTCCCTCAGAGCCAGACACCGAACAGGAACAGGATCAGGACCAGGACCACCAGGACAGGGCAGACGAGCAGCAGGAGGACAGCCAGGGCACTTACGACTTCCGTCCCCGCCAGCTGAACACCAGATATGTCAGTACGCTCTCCTCGTCTCTCGGTTCGGCACGATGGCAGCCAGCTCCCTCGCCAGATCCAACGCCAACTCTAGATGATCGCATGACCCACCAACATCGCCAGCAGCACCAGCAGCAGCAGCAACAGCATCAGCAGTTCGCATTGCCCACCCGCTCTCGCACAGTAACCGACTTCTCTTCCCTCTCAAACCACAATAACACCGGTGTAATCAATATACCGGCATCCCGCTCACCTTTGACCGTCTCTCTCCACGGCCATCGCCTGTCTTCCGCCCCCAGCCAGGTCCAGACAGAGGTCGAGGCCACCACTCCCAGGGCCAGGATCAGGATCAGGAAGAATCGTCTTCTGGAACTGACACAATGGCTCTCCTCGCTTCCCGGGACCTTAGCTCCCACCTGCATAATCACCACCACCCTCATCATATTCACCGTCATCCCCATCATAATCAGCATCACAACACCAACAACAGCAATAGCAACAACAACAACAACCACATCATGCGTGGGCGTACTTCTAGAGTCGAAAAGTCTATCGAAGCTAGCTTGGCCAACGTCGATCCTAGTGCCAATGTTCGTTCCCGCAAGTCAAGCCACTACCTTGGGCTCTTCAAGGAAAACACAGGCGAGCCAGAACGCAGGAAGAGCATTGCTCCAGAACTCGCCTCTCTTGACGAGCTCCAGGGTGTCGGTGTGGGTGCAGGCGCCGCCCGGCCGGATACCTCTTCAGACGAATCGCCAGCCGTCGTCCCCAAGGAGCTTCTAGACGAGATCCGGAGCCACCAGCATCGCCGCCAGGATGGTGCATCCCCCACCAATGGAGCTCAGCCAGGGCTACCAAGGTCCATTCCTTCTCGTGACACTCGAATGCTCTATCCCGGTCACGCGCTCGAGGGCTTCTCTCCAGATTCAGACTTTGCTGCCGCCCGACCTGGCCTGGCCGAATCGGTGTTTGAGGACGATGACGAGGACAAAGAACGTATTTCCTCTGCACTCTACTTCCCGCACCAGCGCCCTCTCGAAGCTGCAGACAAGGATGCCGGTAACAAACTGCAGCCGGAACAGCCACTCTCCTCCTCCCCGGCCAACCTAAAGCCCTCCCTCAGCGAGACCAACCTGGTCGACATCTCCCTCTTCTCAAAGGCTGAAAAAAGCCATTTCACCGGTGACCTGCGCAAGACCATCCCCGAGCCTATAGAGCCGCCTGTCTCTTCCTCTGACCCTCACGCCGTCTCCGTACCTTCCGGCGCGGCCGCTGTCGTGGTCGAACCAGCCACCGACATCTCTGAGTCCGACTACCTCTCTGCCTCAGAAAGCTACACCTCCACCACTCACGACGAACCAGAGGACGACGACGACCTATCCTCCCACGATGAGGCGGCGGCTGGAACAACTCCCCGGGGTACTCCCAGGCCATCTCGCCCCCAGATCAAGCATCCTCAGTCTCAGCACATACGCTCGCCGACTACTCCCCTCGGTGCCGTCGAGCTGAAGCCTTACCGCCACCAGGTCGGCGGCCACACCACCGTCTTCCGCTTCTCCCGGCGTGCAGTGTGCAAACAGCTAAACAACAGAGAAAACCAGTTCTATGAACGTATCGAGAAGAGGCACCCGGAGATGCTCGTCTTTCTCGCCAGATATATTGGTGTTCTGAACGTGACTTTCTCCAAGGGATCGAAGAAGCCCAGCAAGAAGGATAACAACAGGGATAACAAGGATGACAATGCTGCCGTCACATCAGAGCCTGCAGCAGCCAAGTCTACAACAACCGTTGATGCCCAAACCTCTGCCGTCACCACCTCTACCCCGTCTTCCCCGCCTAAGCGCACTGAGTCAGGCAAGGCTAATAATGGCCAACGCATCTTCAGCCAGTCCCAAGTTACCGGGGTAATACCCAAGGTCATCCTGGAGAACAACCGCCACATCATCCCCTTTGACCTCTTCATGACCCCCCACTCCACCAAGTCTACCAGCGGCAGCGGACATGCTACACCCACCCAGTCTCACTGTGGCTCGCTCGAGGATGTTTCTGCCAATCTCACCTGTTCACCCAAGTCGACACCTGAACTCAATGGCGAGTCCGACAAGCCTGCAGCATCCATGACATGGGGTGCCACCACCGTCAACACAAAGCTCCAGGAACAGGTTCTGCGAGAGGTCTTCACTCCTCCCACCATACACTCGCACCATCAACGCCGTCACCGTGGCCCAAGAAACATTCCCAAGCTACGATCTGGTGCCTCTTCCCTACGTAAGGATGGGAAACTCTTGCCTCTGCATAGGGGACGCAGCGAACTCTCCGTCTCCGCAGCTGGTAATCCCACTCTTTCCTCTTCTGCTACAGCTTCAATGCAAGAGGATACAGCCACCCGAGTGTCTGGCCAGCGTCGTCGACGGAGACACTCTGGTTCTGGCCTCGAGAGGAAACGCAGCATGAGCACCGGTCCCGGCGATCTTATGTTCTACGAGGACGAAGGATACGGTGGAGACAAGGAGGACGAGATCTTTAAGATGGAAGATGATGTACGTCCGCCTGTCAAGTCTGATAGTACCCCTACCAGAGGACGCGAGCAGGTTACCCTTCCTGTCTCCCTAGGCACATCAACCGGCGAACCCGTACGTCTACCCACCAACCCAAAGGAAGCCCAAAAGACCACCACCAGCGAGGACCGTGTGCAATTCTTCCTGCTGCTCGAGGACCTCACCGCCGGAATGAACAAGCCCTGTGTTCTGGACCTGAAGATGGGCACCCGTCAATACGGCATCGACGCCGATGAGAAGAAAAAGAAGTCTCAACGCCGCAAGTGTCAGAGCACTACCTCCCAGCAACTCGGCGTTCGACTCTGCGGCATGCAGGTCTGGAACGTCAGCAAGCGCGAGTACCTCTTTGAAGACAAGTACTTTGGCCGTGACCTCTCATCTGGCCGCGAATTTCAAGATGCCCTCACCCGCTTCCTCTACGATGGAGCAGACTATACTTCGGTCATCGGCAAAATTCCCATCATCCTTGACAAGCTCTCCCAGCTCGAAAGCATGATTGTCCGTCTCCCCGGCTACCGCTTCTACGCCTCTTCCCTGCTCATCCTCTACGACGGGGACCGTGACCGCTCCTCCAACTCCCCCTCATCTCCCTCCAAGGACTCAAAATCCCAACGCACTATCTTCGAAACACACTCAGACTCCTCCCTTCCCAACCCATCAAACCTCACGCTGAAAATCGTCGACTTTGCAAACTGCGTCACTGGCGAAGACGGCATCCCACCTTCATCCCGCTGCCCACCACACAACCCCTCCGATATCGATAGAGGGTACCTCCGCGGCCTCCGCACGCTACGCATGTACTTCCAGCGCATCCTACGCGAAGTCAGTGCTAGCGTTGGTGAAAACTATGTCGAACGTGGAGAAGGCGAGGCACTCTCCGCGGCACCCTCGAGCGTTGTTGGAGCCGGCCGGGAAAGAGGAGACGCATGGGCATGGGATGAAGCACTGGGCGAGCTAGAGGAGGGGGAGATCAGTGTATAAAAACTGATATACACGCATACAACTCAAACGCATGACATTATATTTTCTCACCTAACACAGCGCTGCAAGATACCCTTACTTACCCTTACTTACCCTTACTTACCCCCCCCCCCCCCCCCCCCCCCTCCCCAAATCCCCGCTCTAGTTTTCCTTTTTCTTTTTTATAGTCTTGTGCCTGTGCTTTTGCTTCCTTCTTCTGCTTTCGTTTATTTCTTCCATCGGTATCGGCATGGTCTACGGCACGGAAACAGGCGCCGGCGCAATCGGGAGCGAGGGAACTGAATTGACCAACGACCCAACCAATTAAAGACGGATACGGCGTTATTTTGCCTTCTTCACTTTGCATGTGTTTGTTGTTCTTATTCCCCTTCTAGCTAGTTAAGCAATTGTTTTACTCTTACTTTATATTTTATATTTTATTTGCCTTTTTTTTTTTTTTTTTTCTCACATCCCGTTCTTATACTTTAAAATTCCTCCACCTTTCTCCTCCTTTTTTTCTTTTTTTTCTTTTTAAGGCTTCGGGATATCTTCTTACGGGATGCATGGTCGGCCGCCAGTGGCTGCCATCGTTAGGTAGGCGAAATGGCGAGGCCAGGGATGGCCACGGATAACAAAAAAGAAAGGAAGGGGAAAAAAAAAAAGAAACAAAAAAGAGGATACATCCTGCATTACTTAGTTACACTCATACACCCATCCACGTTGTTCAGCTTGTTCGTTTCGTTTGCCTGTCTTGTCTTGCCTTTTTTTTCTATCCTGTCATTTTATATCGTTGCTTCTTCTCGGTTGTTTCCAAGATTGGTTCCTCACCTTACTTATTATTCCTTACACCCTTTTTTTTCACTTTATGGACGGGAGATGGGAGTTTCCGGTGTCCCTTCGGGGTCGTCTCTGCCTTGTCTTATTTATTTACTTGCTCGTTGCTCGTTTGTTTGCCTGCTTGCTTGCTCGTTTGTTCGGCGCTCGTTTTCCGGCTTCCTAATCTATGACTTTATTCAATTATCTATTCATCAACTCGGGACGGACGATTTTTCTTCTTCTCTTTCTCCTTTTCCTTATTCTTTTCTCCTACTGTATTTGACGTATCGACTATCTCCTTTACAGGGTTTCCTTCTTCTCTCTCACTGGAATGAATGATTCATGACAATGGGGTCGGATTGGTAGGCAAAAAAAAGGTCGGCTATCAAAATATTCCCTTTATTTACTACAGCGTATATCTTAGAAAATGTCACACTTCACTTCCTCGTAGCCTCTCTCGATTTAATTTTGCTTTGCTTTTGCTCGAGACAAATAGGGAAGCTGAATGGTAATGTTGATAAAATCGATCAGTTCAAAATTACTCCTTGCTTTGCCTAACAGTTCCCTAATGTATGCGTATGTATGCACCCGTACCCATTTCATTAAGCCAGCTATCCAAACGGAATATCCTCGCTTGCACTCGAGGGAGGAAGAAAGGTGAACAAGAAGAGGCCAGAAATAATATAGTAAAACAAAATGTCGAAATCAAACAGAAGAAGAAAAAGCAAAGCAAAGCAAAGCAACGCCGCGCCATGTCGATGTCAACATCCCTTCGCCTGAGCCAAACGCATCCCGAAGAAATGAAATGAAAAAAAAAAAAAAAAAAAAGGAAAAGAAAACCCCTTATACTTTCCCGTTGCCTTTCTCCCTTGCCTTTTCCTTCTTCCTCAATACTCCCAGCTGTTCCAGTCGATTCCATACCCAGTCCTTTTTCACCCTCACTGCGCCTTCGTGGGCATGGACATGTGCATCTCCAGGACCGACATGTCCGCCGCCGTCATCATCATTAATTTCGTTGTCATCCGGCGAACTGCACTGCGGCAGACCGTCGAGATACGTTAGTCGTCCTGACGTAGCATTCTGGATCATCAGTTCTATCACTCGTCGCCGGAGCCGCGTAGGCTCGTCGAGGTGTGCCTGGTACTTCGCATCTGCGAATGGATCCGCGAACGGGACGGTGTACGGGTCATCCACCTCCTTTTCGTTGTTTTCCGCTTCGTTTTGTTCCTCGTGAGCGTCCAGGGGAGGGTAGTCAATGTAGTTGTTAGAGTGGTATGAAAGGTGTCGGGCAATGTCCTTTCCTCCTCCGATGTATGGAAGAGACCGGTCAAGGACGTCGTCATCGTCCGCTTTGTGTTTGATAAGGTCCCGCTGGGTGGCATTATTCCCTGTGTGTCTTTGCTGCGGCTTCCCACTTCCTGATACTGGCGGTGGGTAGAATCCAACGGTTATCGGGTTTCCTCGCAGGTCGACTCTGGTCAAGGAACCGTGGGCTCCACCGATTTCAGCCAGGACCTTGCACATCCGTCGCAGTCGTGCGATGCGGTTGCCTACCAAGGTCAACCGGTTCAGGCGTTTTATGCCGCGTAGACCATTGATATCCGGTAACGCGTTAAAATTCAGATTAAGCGTCTTTAGGTTAGAGAATGTTTCCCCAAATTGCTCAGGCAAAGCCTCAAGCGTGCACGAGGCCAGGTCCAAAAGTTGCAAGCTTAGAATGGGAGTATCTGGCCTGAGTGTGTCTGCCGAGAGGAAGTTCGATGAAAGGAATAATTTGCGGATTGAAGACACCTTGCCCAGATTGAGATTTACTGGTATAGGTTCAGCATAGCCAGGAGAGCCGCTGGGGTCATTGGAAGGTATACTTTGCTCTCGCATAGAGAGGGTGTCGAGGAATCGACAATCCTCAAGCTTCTCTATAGTGCTGAGATGATTGCAGTCGACATATAGTACACGCAGTGATGGGAAAACCGACAAATCAAGCTGGCCGAGACGGTTCCCGGACAATTTGAGGATGTCTAGACGCCGTAGAGGTCGACGTACCGTGAACTCCTGCATCTGGTTCTTTCGAAGATCAATGGTCTCGATCCCATGTAGGGCATCAAGATTCTGTATGGTATGAATGTCATTACCGCTGAGATCCAGTTTACTCAGTCGGATGCTATCCAATGTTAGCCATATGTTCTAACCTTTCAATGATGGGCATACTTACAGATCAGCATGCTTAAAGTCCACGGAGGTCAATTGATTATTTGAGACTTTAAGCGTTAACAGGCCATCTAGCCCAAAGATCCCCTTGATGCAGGTGAGCTTATTATTGCTCGCATTCAGACTCCGCAGGTGATATAGATTAGAGAGACCATCAAGATTGTCCAAGTCGTTACCAGATATATCGAGATACTGAAGATTCGATAGATGGCTCCATGAAGTTAGACTAGACAGGCAATTATATGGCGAGTCGAGGCTTCGGACTGTTGCTGGGATGCCGTTTAGGTGAGCGAGCTTGTTCTCCCCTACATCCAACTCCTGGAGCTGAGGACAATACTTGTCGAGCTGGTGAAGGGTTAAAAGTCTCTTTCCCCTAAGGACCAGCCGACGCATCTGTTCCCAGTATGCCTCATATGGCTCTGCGTCTGTAATGTGTTGCACAATGTCCTCAGCGGCCAGTGCTAGTTTCCCATGTAGTTGTCGTAGAGCGTGTGGGTTTGCTCGTTTAGCAATGTAACTGCGCTCGCCTCTCATGGACTCGTCAACCTGATTGACCGTGAACTCTGACAGAGGGCTCATGTGGAAGCTGTAGTTGCTCGAACCCAGGTTGGGCGGAGCAATCATTACTGACCGATCAACATCTGCTACCGATGGTATAACAGAGAGATCGTTGTTCTGCTCTTCACCCTGGCCATCAATTGATTCTTCTGTGCCTTCCTGTATGCACGATAGTTCAAAACAATCTTGTTCTGGTAAGGGAATATCATGCGGTGGGACATTTCCTAGGGGACTTTGAGGTGCGGCGTCTGATATCCACTCCCGAGCTTCTTGGGTATGCTCGGAGCATAATTCGTCCTCGCCCTGGTATGCAACTCCGGAAACCAATGGAGAGGAAAACGTGATTGTACCAGATCGTGCACGGGTGTTTGGCTCATGCAACGGCGCACTGTAGACGTCTGGCAGTTGTTCGGCTTGCTCCTCCTGTTCCAGAACCTGAGGCTTTTCGAGGCTTATTTTATGGGTTTGGAACTCTTCCGATCCCCAGGAAGTAGCTCTGGTGCCTGGTTTGGGAACACTAACCGTAAATCGAGTGTATTTAGACTGTACAGAGCTTGACTCAGACATCGGATTCTGGGCGCTCTCTCGAGTCTGTGGGCGAGGATTGTGCTCAGCTTGGAAAGGGGCCTTCTTCTCGGGCTCTGGTGGAAGAGATTCCTCAGGCAATGGCAGTGCAGGCCCAGAGCCGAATGCAGTCCCCGCTGGCATTAGGCCGCGAGCGATAGCAAGTTCTTTCAGTTCATCGACACTAAGATCAGATATGTCCTTGAAAGGGTCATCTTCGCTGACAGTTTGGGAGCGATTATGAGCATCTGGATCGGATCTGGCGGTGTTCTTCACCCAGCATTGCGTATTTCGATCAAATATCATCTTTCCAATGTTTTCTGGAATCAAATGGGAAACTCGATCCGAAGATATGACCCCCTTTGCACCAGAGCTACTGGCAGAGCCCTGTGAAAATCCGGTCGGGAGGCTTGTTGCTGACTTCTGGCTCTTGACGGATTCCTCTGACCGAAGTACTAGTTCGCCCTGCTGCCCGTCACGACGGACGTTGGACCTTATCCGGATATTCTCAGGGCTGCTTTCCACAGTATCGTCAAAGAATCCAACATCTCGACGGGGTGACTGATTTGGATGCAGCAGACCATTTTGTTGTCTGAACTTCAACGTTCCAACGGAAGCACCCATTCCAACATGGAACTCGTCTTTCTCTTCAAACTTCTTCAAGTGACTGATAATTCTTGGGTTTGGCGGAGGTACTTCTCTCTGTTTTCTCAAATCAACACCGTCACGACTGGGAGGCCGTGAGAACTGTTCTTCGCTGGAGGCGTCACTGTATAGAGCGGAATCATCCTCATAAATGGTTTGATAACCCTCATTTCGCCGGGTAGAGCCGCTTATTGGCCCTCCCTGGGCCCTGATATGGTCCATCACTTTTGATGCTTCATTATAGTATTCCTGGGTGGTAATCGAGCCTTTCCTAGGGTGTTCAATGTGGAAAACAAAGCTGGCACCGGGACACGCCGCTGTTTCCTGCTTGTCAGGGACAGCAAACAGGGACTGGCCGTTTGCCGTGATAGGTCGGAAACTAGTTGGCGTCGGGGCAGCTGGCCTTGAGTAGGACGGAAGACGTTGTTGACTTCCATCCATACTTTCGACGAGGGAATGGGTAGAGAAAGGACCCGTAGAATCAAGTATTGACTCGTCCCAAACCTGATCTTGGCCTGGGAGAACCTGCAGTGTCCTCCTTCTTTTTGAGACTGTGATTTTCGATGACCGTTTCAGGCTCCTTTTAGCTTCTGTTTTGGACAGGGGTGGTAGCTGTTGTTTCTCGTATGCTTGGTGTGGACTGCTGTTTTCTTTATCCCGTGGCGAGCTGGGGACTTGAAGTAAATTCCGGGGTTGTTTATTATCCGTTCCCAGGTGTGTAGTATGGTTCGACCTGGAGATATTGGTTCTGGAGGGCAGCCTAGGCAGCCCATCTGGGCCCATGTCCTCGCGTTCCGCGTCGAGATTACTAGCGTCGTCCGCACCCGAGGCGTTGGCAGCTTCGAACTGGCTCATCCTGCGCAGGAGCTTGTTGCTTGTGTAGGTATCATGATTTCCAAACAGCTTCAAAGGGCTTCCTGATGACGAGGGTCTCGGTCTTGAGCTATCCTCTGCCGGCTGCTCCACGTCCGGGGGAGAGTGAAGGCGTATTGACGGCGGTGTTTGCGGTGTGCGTGGTACAGGAGGGATCGGGACTCCCCCCCCTAGTATCGAGCTTTGAGGGTGCGGTGGGCGTGACGACGCGCTAACTGTCCGTATGCGAATGGAGTCGCTGTCCGAACAGGCTGCATGACGTGAAGTGTCCAATTCGTCGCCCGGTGACGTGCAGTCCTGTGTACCCATAGATAAGCCCTCTGGTAGTGATATAGACGTCAGGTTCTCGGAGTCGGCATCGAGGCTCTCGTCCTGCAGGCGGCTGTCGCTGCAAGCAGCCATGTTCTCCAACCGCGTCGGACTCCGGCTCGACTGGTTGCGTTTCGGCAGTGAGATGTAGCTGGCCTCGTTATCCCGTATGACACTAGCGCTGGCATGGCTGCTGGAGCTCAGTCTCGAGTTGAATTCGATGCTCAGGGAGGAGAGGTGTTCTCGCAGGGGCTCAATGCCTTCGGCCTGGTCCCTGTGCGGCGCGTAGGGCCGGCCATCGCCTCCTATCATGACCTCTGACATGTGTTCCATCCACGATGTGTCGTTTCCTCCATGAGAATCGCGAAAGGGCGCTCCGCGGCTCCTCTGACTCCTCTGACTCCTCTGACTCCATAGGCTCCGTTGGCTCCGTTGGCTCCGTTGGCTCCGTTGGCTCCTCTGGGTGCCGTTTGTTCTCTGGCTGTGGAACGGTTCGCGAGCGGATGATACGCCGTCCTGGCGAGCGGCCGCATCGGCAGCCACAGGGACCGAGAGATGGGACCGAAACAGCGACTCTGAGAACGACGGCGGCCTGAAGACGGTCTCCAGCCCCATTGGGCCGAAAAGGTCGCCCGCCTCGCCCAGCGCGCGCTCGCCTCTGATGATTCTCCTCTTCCACTCTGGAGTGGTGTTGCCGCCTCCCTCGCGCCGTGATTTGATCTGCATCGTCCCGTCGCCATCGCCGTCGCCGTCGCCATCGCCATCGCCATCGCCATCGCCATTGCCCATGCTGTTCACCGTGGAGGTCTGTCCCGAGCAGTGGTGGCTGTGGGGTTGGTTGCTGGCGCTGGAGCTGTCGCGATAAGGCCGTGGAGAGGGAGTGGGCGAGGTGTCGGCGTCGACCTCGTCGCCGTCCGCCGCAAGGACAGGTGAATCGGCCGCAGAGACAGCCTGCTGCGAGTCCCAGTCGTCGTCGAGGCCGTCTAGCCACGGTTCCGCCATGTCGGGCTGGCTGGCTGGCTGTGCGGTGGTCGTCGACTCGCTAGACCTGGAGATGTTCGGGCGACGCGCTTCTTCCCCCTGAGAGCGAAGTCATGTCAAGGCGGGAAATACTAAGATCCGCCACTCCAGCGAGGACGCCGCAGCGAAGAGAACGAATACGCAGGGAAGGATAAAACGAGCAGCGAGTAGCACAGGAGAAGAAGACCAAAAGCGAAGAAGGAGTAAATTTGTTAGTACATAAAATGACAGTAAATAAACACGATTATCAGCCACAGCTTCGCTGGCGGTCGTTTTCCTGTGCTTGTTTTGGGCGCCAGATCGCGATTTGTTCCCACTTTCTTCCTTGCTTTTTCTCTCGAAGTATTAATAATATAACTAGGTGATATGGCAGGGTAAACAAGTAAACAGTTGAACAGTCTCTTGTCTGCGGCCTGACCGTATCTACTCGTCGTCGGTACATATGGCCATGGCAGCGGCTTTTGCTCTTCAGCTCCGCCGGGAACACGAGACGGGCGCAGGAAGAGTCGATGCAAGTGACAAGCAACGGCCTTTGGATCGCCAGCTCAGGCTTGTCCAGAAGAGACAACTTTGCCAAGGGACTCGTATTGCCTGATGATGGCGAAGCAAGCTGAGATGATGCCCCGGCTTGGATCTACTCCGGGTCTGTCTGGCATCAGTATACCAAGTCAAGGGCGGAGGGGAGAGCTCGACAGTGGCCGTCAGCTTCAGGCTCGTGGGATATAAAAGAGGCCTCAATGTCCCTGATGTCCAGGTCTTCACACAAAACAACATTCGCTCACCAACCGCACCATCATACCTGCTATTGCAACTCCGCTTGGGTTAAACATGTTTGTCCGGCTGTTGACGTTCGGCTTGGTGGCTGCATCTACTCTCGGGGGGGCCTTTGCTTCCTCAAATCTTCCGATTCTCGATCTGCCTTATGGAAGGTGGCGAGCAGCTAAATATGACCAAGCTGCAGATGTAAGACGGATGGCCCTCATCGCCAGGGAGACACACTATGTTTACACTGTGGCCTAGGTCTACACATTCCGCAACGTTCGCTATGCGGTTCCGCCTACTGGGCCGTTGCGTTGGGCCAAACCAGTAAGACCAGCATCTCGAGAGCCCCATATCCAGGACGGATCTTACGGCCCACCGTGCATTCCTGGCCCCGGCGCTCCTGGATTCGAGGACCCGTCATACTACAGGCAACAGAAGGCTGCTCGTGAAGGTTCGTTTTGCCCGTCTTGAGGCTTTCTACGCCGAGTGAGTGGTTTCTAACTTGAGGTAGACTGTCTATTCCTTGACGCCTACGTTCCCGGGAAAGCATTGAGAAACCACGGACATCGCAAGCTACCTGTGATTGTTTGGGTTTACGGCGGAGGGTACGTTGCTATCCTTCTTGAGCGACAAACAGCCCATACTAACGACTGTAAAGGTATTCAATTGGATCTAAAGATCTAGCAGTGGAAGAAGGGATCTACGAAGGCACTAGCCTTGTGCAGCGTTCGGCTGGAGATGCCATTGTCATCACTTTCAATTACCGAGTAAGGCCAATCTTGTTCACCCTAGGATCACAGAATCTAAAACTGCTAACATTTTTCTGGAAAGCTCAGTGCATTGGGCTGGCTGGCCGGGACCACAATGGAAAACGAAGGATTACCAAATGCCGGTTTGCATGACCAGCGTGCTGTTTTTGAATGGGTAAGAGACTATGTCCACCTACTGGGCGGAGATAGGGACAGGGTCAGCGCCTGGGGAGAGTCTGCAGGCGGAGGCTCCATTCTCAGCCTTATCACCGCCAATCAGGGAATCATCGACCCTCTCTTTCGACGTGCCGTTGTTATGAGTCCCGGTCTTAGCTTCCCTGTTGACCGCAAAGGATCAGTCGAGAATCAGTTCAAAGCCTTCGCATCACGCGCGGGCTGTGCCGGACAAGGACTAGCATGTCTGAGAGCAGCTAATATTTCGCAATTGATTGAGGCTAGCTACAAGGATCTGGGCCAAGTTGGCCCAACGCCAGATGGGCGTGTGCTTAAGCATGTATTCTCTGTTGATATTGCTCAAGGTAAGGAGTCCAGGCCTAGTCATCCATAACTGTCAACTGACATCTTCACCTCCAGGGAACTACTGGAGACATCTCGACTCTCTCATTATCTCCCATGTCTATGATGAAGGCAGCCCCTTTGTTGGCAATGACAGCACTCTGGAATCCCTTTCCGGCTATTTGAAGTCGAGTTTCCCGACTTATGCCACGGAAGCTATTTCCACACTTGAGGACTACTATCACCTGAAGAAGCCCTCCAACGAATCTGTGAGCGCCATTGGCTCAAGACTCATCCGTGATTCGTTATTCACTTGCAATATACGCGATATACTCCGGGAATACTCAAAGAAGTCCTATCTCATGCAGTACTCTCCCAAAGCAGCGACCCATGGCCAAGACGTATTTGCCCTCTGGTACTCCCCCAAGTTGTGGAATGTTTCTATCCCTCTTTTCAGCGGATACCAGTCCTACTTTCTCAGTCATGCTATCACAGGTGACCCAAACACTCGACGGGATCGTGATATCAATCCACCAACCATTGCCTGGCCGAGAGTCGGGGATATCAATGCTGAGAAGCTTGAGAATACCTTAGACGTGGTGGACACAGGGTATAAACTCATAGCCGACGACCAAGTCTTGAAGAGCACCTGCGATCTCTGGCAAAAGCTCCTCCTAGACGTTACCAAGCAAGGGGGCTATCTGGACATTTGAAGCTAGCCACGTAATCATGCTACTTGCATCGTCTGGACATAATATCTCTAACTAGTTAGTCGGTTTTCTCGTTGATCTCTTATGTGTCCACTTTTGAATTGAATGCCATAGCCCTTCTAGACAATCTACTACAATACCATAAAGCATGAGTCGAGGATATCACGACGTAGGGCCCAACCATTCGAGACCTCACTCCCGAAGATCACCATTTTCCATTAGAGCAAGCCGGGTAGATTTCTCTGACATTTCAAGGCAGGCCACAACGCCTTCACATTGTCCTTAGCGTCGATAGGCCTCCTGTTCCCGTTGGATAACTTCAATGTTTATCTCAACCTCATTATCGCTGCTCCTAATATAGCGTAAAGGTCTTTTGAGCGCGGTGTCCTCGACACAAATTACCAACCCCGACCTGCCATAACCAAGGATTTGCTCTTGAGGAGCGGCAATGCCGTCAAGTTCAAGGACTGGTGATGGTATTCTATTAATGGCTACTTGAGATATATAATTGTCTGCAAGGAATCCAATTACTGCCATTAACTACCCAACGGTGAGACAAGACAGCTACGCCCATTATTATGCGGTATGCTTAGTTACACCGCAGAATCCATGCATTCAGTAGTTAGACGCTGGCGGATGATGCTCCTTACAAGGTGGCTAATTGGCCCACCCCCGGATGGAGATGCATATATGCAATCCAAACCCCAGCATCGAGATTATGGCCATCGTGGAAGCTACATAAGAGGTTGTTGTTGTTGAAGTCGTTGGATTTGTCAGCCCTTCCACGTGATCTTCTCTTCCGTCGAATAAACAACGATTATCAATTAATCGTAACTAACTTGTTGGCAACTTCAATATACGGATGTTGACAAACAAACAACGACGAAGGTGAAATTTGCTAGTCATAAATCAATAAGGAGTTAGATCTTTATTTATTTCTTGAAGGAAAAACAATAGGCTTTGCCAACTGGATAATACCACCCAATGTGCTCGAAATATACCCTCCAGCTTCATTATAACCCGATACAAAATAGGGGATTCACTCTTGGATTGAATATTCCACAACTGGATTCGCCGAATTTTATGTTTGAGAAGTTTTAAATAATTTTGCGTTCTCATATGATTATCTTCTTGATCGTCCTTTGGACAAGCCTTATATGTCGGGGCCGTGCCTTGTTTTCTTCGCCTGTTGGCGCCAGACAAAGGGCATAGTTCTTCTTCAGGCTGGCATAAAAGCGGCTTCGGCTCCGTGTGGCTTAGCATTGAAGGGTAATCGACCAATCTGGGCGGCTGTTCCTCGCTTTAATCCCGAGTTGCCGCCAGTTTGCCCATTTCTCGACTCATTGGATTCTTGTTGTTAGTTCATTGTTGGACTCCACTCAACAATGGCTATGTTTTTGATACTGTTAGAAGCTGAAGGGATCCCCCTTCGATACATACCTCCTCTATCTTATATTTTCTATATATATTTATCTTAACCTTCGCTGCTTGTGAGGGCCTCGATTCTATGCAGAACTATCGTGACGACATAGGTGATATTCGCCTCTAGCGTACGTTTGATCTTCAGTATTTTCTACTTAATATCGAATGTTATGGCTAGGTCAGTTTCTCCCAATGCTGATTACCCGGAAGTAAACGAACACTTCCCTGATTATGATTTTGAACGACTTGCTGTTCCGCCCCCAGGCTATGAACTATACCGCTTTCCCGATACCACACATCTACGTAACCGGGCTCTCGACATCGATACACTCAAGAAGCTAGTAAACCATCATACATGGGGATTCTCCCTTGACAAATGGATAGAAAACAAGGAGAAAGAGGACGGAAAAGAAAAGAAAACGAAACCTGGGAAGCCTGGGAAGCCGCAGATACCACGGAGAACTAAGGAACATCTTCTCCAGATACTAAAACGGATTTCTTACAACCAGGACCCCAGGCATCGCGCCGATTGGCATCATTTTATTAGCCGAGACTGCGATGCAGGCCCCAGACTGTTACGACCATCATACCACCCGCCGCTGTTCAGTAGAAGGATGCCTAGGGGAGATCCCAACTGGGAGTTTGCACTTCCACCCGAAACACCGCAATTGCCCAACCCTCAATGGCCCACTCCCCCTCGAGATGGTTCCTTTTCCCGTGGATATCAAGGTGTACCAAGTTTCCCATCTCAACCGAGCTATATGACCGCTCAACAGTATATGATGACCCAAGTCCCAACCAGATTAGGACAAAGCTCAGGGCATGGTGTCCCAGCAAGTTTTCCTCATTCTGCGCAAACAGGAAATCAATGGGGTGAAGCCTATCGCCAAAGATATCTACTACCCAATCCTGGTCGTGCAGATAACGGGAAGCCTCGTACTACAACTCAAGCAAGCAGCCCACCCCGACAGGACACTTCGCAAAGCGCCTACGGTCTTTTGGACAGCCATTCTTCTAGGCAAGCTCCGCTGGCACAGATTAACTACACCAGGCCCTCTACAACCGGCCTAATAATAGGCGCAACAACCCTATCATATCTGAGACTAAGGATATCTGAGGACCAAACCCAGCTCTCCTTTGATTCAGATGGAGAGCTCTATCCCTTCAGGTGCCGTGGCCCTTTGTCTTATGATGGGAGTTCGGATATATTTGACTGCGTTATTGTTGCAGGGCTGTTGACCAACGCCGGAACCACCACAATCGATAAGAGAGCCCGCCGCGAACGACTGATAGTTTTGAGTCCACCCGAAAGGGCGTTTATAGGTGCCATGAGCGATTGTTTAAACAGCCAGTTATCAGATGAGGCCGTCTCAACGGTGAAAGAGAGGCTGTGGAATGTCTACACCCAGCATTTCCAATTAGATCCTCACTCGGTAGATAGATCGGTGATGGACACAGCCATTGTCTGGACAGCTCTCGCCAAGTCTTTCTCCCAGTTTCAGCTCTGTTATACCGATCATTACCAGCCCTGCGGTCACCATGGGGGCCCGGTAAACAGTGTTCCATATCGGGAAAGTGTTGCCAATATAGCTTATCAAACGAATGACGATAATGGTGTGGACATATCTGTTCTTCTGCAGCGGGTCTTCCAGGGCAGTACGAGTGTTAGGTGCACACAATGTGATGGGTCATGTTCAATAAGATGCCCCCGGACGTTTGAAGCCAGCCCTATTCGCATTGTTATGCAGCCTCATGAGCAAATAAGAATTCTCAACTTTTGTGCTCCTGCAATGATAGTACGGCTGGTTAAAGCCGGTGGTGAAGTCATAAATGAGCAATACACACTCATTGGAGTCATATTCAGAACTCAGAACAATAGTTCCGTACACCATAGAGTGCGATGGATTGACAAAGACCGAGGAGCTAATGGTAGCCGGTTAACGCAGATTTACGATGCAAGCCAAATATCAGGAATGGTCCCAGGGGGTATCAAGCCGCAGGAACAGTATGAGATTGCGCCGAATTCATGGTGGATTAATGGCCATCCGGTACTTCTCTTCTTCGAGAAGATCATACACCGACCAAGTGAGCAATCATCTACTCAACCAATGGTAGTACGGTCATCTCAGGATCCTAATCTTCGCCCGGGACGTCCTAGTAACGGAACTACAGGTTTTATTCACCAACAAAAGAGCAACGGCGACGCCCCCGGTAGTAGGACGTCTTTGCGTTTGAAGGAGAAGAGGGCAGCAGCACGAGCAAATACAACGGGAACAGAAAAAACAGAGGGAAAGAAGATTCTCGTCTCTACAGCCCAAAGATTGACCAAACCTGCCTGCCAGGCAAAGACAAGTGGTCGAATTGAAGCCAATTCAGTCGGATCTAATTATGTTAGTTCATTTGCTAACAGCGAAGGTCCACCTCAGGCAACACAGTATCAGCCCCCTACTCCTGGCTCTACAGCTAGGGCACCTATCAAACTTCATACCCCAGGCTATGCAAATGGCAGTCCATCGCCCTTATTAGCTGGTAGCCTGTCAACTAATGATTTTATGAGATCAGCTGTTATGCCAACCCCTGGCCCATCTTCCACACCTTCTTCAAATCCAAACTATAGTAATGATGCTGCTCTAGTTGAGAATAACCAGGCTAACGGGCACCGATCGATACCCGATATTCATAATGCAATGATACCCACATTTAATGCTCCTGTTGCCCAGTCCATCCCAAATGGAAACGGGTCAAGTTCAGGGTCAGCTGGAAGCTACCAAGCTAGTATCCATGAAACAGCTCGCAATCCATACCCAGTGGTAAATAGGCTTGGTACTGCCGCTTACACTAGGCATCCGATGAACAATGTGCCCGGTCCAGCACCAGAAAGCAACGGTCGAACCAGTATCAAACAGGAAATCCCCGCCCCGATTGTCATTCTTGACACTCCCCCTCCAGAGGCTCCAGCAGTAACTGGAAACCCCCCGGCTGCTTCTAGCCCACAAGAATCACTTCATTTGCTCACAGTAGACCCCCAGCAGCTACTCCTCAACCCGACAAATCCAGTTGATGAAGCAGGCCTGCAGCCAGCGGTACCTGCGGAAGTACAGGTGATAGAAGAGGGCAACGTGTGCACTGTGCCGGCCTCTTTAGAAGGGCTCACTCAGGAAGACCTCGAGGCAGCTAACCAGTCGTTTACTGATTTCATGGAGAACGATGATAACCTGTATTCTTCTAACCTAGAGCTTGGGTTTGCAGATTCAGCTATGCCACCACTGCCACCTCCTGACAACTTTTTTGACCTCCTTGGCCAGGTCAACGGTATCGAACTGGAGCAACGAACAGCATCAAACCCGGATACTACCTTAGCAGATGACGAATGGATGGCCCAGTGGGGTATCATCGGCGCGAGTACGAGTGCGGGCGAGCCGTCCGTAGCGGAAGATACTTCAACGCCCTCAACAGGGGCTGTTGCGGCCAGAAGCAACAGTCTGAAGAGGAAGAGAGACGAGTCCGAACAGGAACGGTAGATGCTGTCACATTATAGCCTACAGCGATAGCTGGAGAGTGGTTGAAGAATAAGATATCGACCACTAGTTAGGAAACAGACGGTGTTGCTTTTTCAATAGGTATTGAGCATGCAGCTACATAGTAGTTATAGTGTCCATGGGTGTACGAAGTAGATAGATCTCAAACGTAACCGATTCACATGCATCTGGTCGTGATACGAACTTGGCGGCCAACTTTGCATCCCGTGTCCAAGTCTTCTTCTTATACAACTATACATGTCATTCCAGAATATAAGTCTGGCTGGGAGGTTGCAGGGACTTTTTCATTACTAGCTTCTCTATATACATGTTGACCAAGTCCAACTTCTACCGCTCTAGATATCGAATTTTCTCTACTCAACCTTCCTCCAAATGAACAAAACATGAACTCCGGGAAACCAACAGCGAAGACTATGAAAGACACTGAGAGAAGAGAAACCCTATAGATGAGCCCTGGGAGCCTGGTCTGGCGCGGTTGGCCGGTCGCTCTTCTTGGGCGCAGAGATGTATCCGCCGCGGACGTTGTCGGTGTTGATAACCTCGCCCTGCGCATTCCGCTTGATGCCCAGCTCCATCAGCTTGTGGAAGGCCTTGGAGAAATGGTCGAAGAAGAGCTCCTTGTCCTCAGCGTACTTGTCCACCCACATCGCGAACTCGGGGTCCGAGAGCAGGGCCATGTCCGTCGGCAGCATCATGAGCGGCTCCTCGCGCTCCTCCTCAGGCACGTCCTCGTCCACGTAATTGAACTGCTTCGTCCCGTTCGAGAGCGTGCGAGGCTTCCACTCGAGCTTCTTGAGCAGCCGGAAATACTGGTTTGAGAATCGGGTTGGGTTGTTGACCCAAGGCCCTTCGAAGCCGCTGCGGTCCATGTGTGTGCGGCCCAGGTTATGGGCGCCGGAGAGGGCCACGATCTCCTGGTCATTGAAGCCCATGCGGTAGAAGATGTGTCGGATGTGGTCGCTGCCCTTGGTGGCATCGGGAAGACGGCCGCGAGGAGGCACCTTGGAGTCGTCCACGAAGTCTGTCCGGCCGGGCAGCCAGCTTATCTCGGGGCCACCCATCTCCTTGATGGCGACGACGCCTGCGAGCGTCCAGAGGTCGGAGTATGTGATCCAGGGGTGTTTGGCCTTGATGGGCTCGAGGAATGCGCGGCCATGCTGCAGTCCGGCGTTGGCTGGGTCTCCTCCCTCTGCTTCATAGCGCATGCCAGCGCCGTTCGAGCCTCCCGTATCGCTCTCAATGTCATATGTACCTGCAGAATGCCTGGGAAGATGTCAGTCGATGGTCGAATCAGGGTTGGAGCAAGCCGAAAAAAAGGAGATACACGGACTTACCATGCGAGCCGGACGAAGACAGGGCCTGCGCTTCCGTCATCGTACCCAGGCTGCTTCATCTGGGCAGCGATATCACGCCTGACGGCGGCGAAATCTCCCTTACTGCTCATACTATCGGCCGTATGGAATATCAAGGCACAAGAGCGCTGGATGAATGATGAATGCCGGTCCGGGGGAGAGAGATACAGGCACAGCGAAACAGAGGAAAGATATCTGGTTATCAAAGGTGGAAAAAGGCCCTTCCGATTATTATTTATACGCCCAGGACAGACAAGATTCACATGGCATGGACTCTACGGGTAGACTCATGGCTTTTACGGGGTTGATTGGAATAATATTCGACCTGGTTCCACCGTCTCTGCCACTGCCTCCCTCTGATGCGTTTTTCCTTCTGGGGCCACCGGCCGCTCGAGATGCCGAGGTAAAACTCTTCGCCCCGTCCTCGCCGGGCCAACCAGCGTCTTGCAATTCTCAGCTGTCGAACGAAGTTCCTGCGCGCCGCCAGCAGCTTTTCCTTGTCGCCGACGAGTTCTTCCTCTTCCTTCTGCTTCCATCTCTTCTGCTTACTTTCTTCCCTCTGCTTTTCGCGTCGCGGGAGGCAAAAGTTAAGCTGCTTCACGCCCATTCTCGGTGTCATGTGACACGCCAGCCATCTCAGTCGTTGAAGCTCAAACGAAACAGAGCCGTTGACCAGATAACTAGCTGACCAGGTTATGCAGTGCTGTTCTTCTCCAGCTGCGCGATCCTCACCTTCATCTGCGTGATTGTCTCCATTGCGCACTTGGTCAGCTCCTCGATGTCCCTGCTGTGTTGTTTCTCCATCAGCGCGATCCGCGACCCTTGCTTATCCAGCTCCCTCATCAGGCTCTTCGTCTGGCTGCGTTCGAGGCCCAGGATGCTGTCGATGAAGTTGTAGATCGGGATAATCTGGCTGTTGGTTAGGTTGCCGGCTTCGGCTTGTTTCGCGATATATATTATCGACGCTGCCATGTCGTTCGCCACAGCAATGATGCGCGCTGTCTTTTCGGCCGCGGACATGCTCTCCAGCCCAGTCAGGCTCAGGGCACCGCCGCTGCTGCCGTAGGTGCGAGGAGGCTGGTATTTCTCAAACATCACGGCTAATGTCAGATAAAAACGGTAAGTCGGCTACTTGATAACTCCCGTAGACAGACACGCGGTATGGCATGGGAGATGGATTATGCCTGTGATCTAGGAGAAGCCATGGGCTGTTTATATCTTGCGCAGCAAGCCATCAACCCTTTGTCCAGCTTCGCTTGCAACGAGCCAGCATCCATCTCCCAGCCTGGCAACCCCCTTGTTCTCCAAATAGACAATCCCTTCTTTATGTCTTTTTTCTTCCTTTCCACATCGCTTTCTCTCCATCTTCAACAAACAACATGATTACATAATATAAAGTGCCTATTATGTAATGGATTTAAACTTCCATCGTATCAGATCTAATGATGACGTAATCAATCTGATAAGAAGTGTTTGTCTTGTTTGCTTTTGCGGCTCAAAGAAAAAAAGGCAGGAAAAGCAAGAAAAAAAAAAAAAGGCGACAGTAAAACTCATCGCATCATCAAAGATTTCCACTTCAACATAGCAGTCGTTTGATAAGGAGCGGCTGTCGAGGGAGGTATAACAAAGAGCTATATAGGGCAGACAAGAAGACAAACAACGATGGGCCGCATAGAGGAGCTTCCAGACGATTTTGATGAGTCCCTAGATCTCAACAAGGCGCCTGTCTTCACCCCGTTGCCCGCCGCGAAAGAGCCATCCTTCCTCCCATCAGGCGAAACTCCCTTTGGAATAAAGAAAGATGCCTTGCCCAAGGGGAGCGAGGCTCTTCCGGCCATGCCACCGGCGATGGAGTCTGTCAAGTCGCACACTGCAGATGAGATAATAGAACTTATGAACCAGACCCCGCTGTTCATGACAGACGTTGACAAGGCACTACAGGCTGGTCGGTACCTTATCAAAAGCAGGAACTCATGAGGAGTAAAGCAGTATTTAAGGTACTGACTGACCGGGTTGATTAACAGAAGGCGAAAATCCACAGCTAGATGCCATCCGAGCACTTCAGAACGAAGGCACACGAGCAGATAACGCGCAACGATTCCGCGAAAATGGAAATGACTTTGCGAAAGTAAAGCGGTGGAAGGATGCAAAGGAGTGCTATACCAAGGGAATATCAATCTTGACCATGAAAGACGATAGTTGGGAGGCGCCTGAGGACCCCAAAGAAGAAGCACGAAGACTGCGAGAAATCGAAGAGGCTTGCTTCATCAATAGAGCATTATGCAACTTGGAGCTAAGTACGATTCCACGAGCCGATTCCCGATAATAACGAGATGATCGCGACTGACGATAAGAAACAGAAAACTATAGATCAACCACGTTAGACTGTGCGTCTACGTTGAAGCTCAACCCGAAGAATATCAAGGCATTCTACCGTTCCGCTACTGCCCTCCTTGCCCTTAACAAGGTTTTGGAAGCGGAAGATGCGTGTGGAAGAGGCCTCCACCATGATAAGACGAACCAGCCCCTCCAAGATCTTTCGAAAAAGATAGCAGCGAGAAAGGCGGAATTAGATAAGATCGCAGCGCGGAAGAGGGAGGAACAACGGCGAGCAGAGAAGATCCAATTCACGCTCCGCACGGCACTGGCAGCACGCGAGATTTCCGTCCGAGAAACCGCCCAGCCGCCAGACATGGAAGACGCAGTCATGAAACTCTCCCCTGACCCCTTATCCCCAGAGAGCACTCTTGTTTTCCCCTGCGTCTTACTCTACCCCATGCATGCACAGTCGGATTTTATCAAGGAATTTGCCGAGACAGACACTATCGCACAGCACCTCGAGTACATCTTCCCACTACCCTGGGACAAAAACGGTGAATATACTATCGGCTCTGTGGACTGTTACATGGAGACTGCCGCCGGCGGAATGATCAAACCCGGAAAGAAAGTTTCGCTGCTAGCGATCTTAGGCGGCGGAAAGGTAGAGGTCGTTGATGGTCTAGTGCGGATCAATGTTGTACCTACCAAAATGGCAGGGAAATGGATCGCGGAAATGAAGGTGCGGAAGAATGCCTCAAAGTAGACCGGCGGATATTTAGCGGAAAAAAGATCCCTGTTACCTCCCTGGATATTCCGCACTTGCTACACCTCCCATCCGATGTCATATAAAGCATGGAATTCGGAATGGGGCTAGGTCAAGATTATGCTTAACAAGCATATACATAACCTGGACGAAAGAAGCGATATTACAACAGAATTGACTTTAAGCATGATTTCCTCCAAGGCAGAAGATTGGATTTCGGGAGATATATCAAATATCTCATCTCACATCTCTACCGTGCCGGGTCCATAAATGAATGCAAACAGGGAAAAAAAGGAAGAGAGAAAGCAGCCAAAGCCTGGCTTCTAGGCGATGGTCTTCATAACTGCTTGAAGGGCCTGTCCAACTCACACAGGCCAGTTCCATAAGGAAAACCCATCCAACCACTTTATATGTATTTTTATACAAAAAGAAACAATCAACCAAAGAAATAAAGGCAGTGTGACACCAAATATATATATAACCATGTTCCAAAAATGTATGGAATGGAAGAAGACAAAATATGCACACTCAAGCGCCTCCCGTGATCCTAGTCCTGGATACAAATGAAGGGGGAATATCGAGATATATAAGGGTATAGTAAAGCGAACTGACAGCCAGATGAAGAATAAAAAATACACACCAAATTCTCAGGTTTGGTATGGTAAATCTGTAAGTAAGAAGTCCCAAGGTCCATCAAAGCTCATGTTGAGAGGGATTGGGTTGCTATAGAAGCAATTAAGTAGTTCCAGATCTCCGTTAGGGTTGATACTGGTGGTCGGTAGAGTTTGGCTAATATCAGGGTTCGCGAGAGTCTGCGCAGTGTGGGTGCTTGCCAGGCTTGAATTGGTTGTCGTAGGATGTGGAATATAAGCTTTTGGTTGGACCCGGGATGGATCAAAGTCGGAGAATGATGGGTTGGGAGCTGCATATTGAGGTGCTTGAGGCACATCATTTAATTCTACTGTTGGTTGGTTGCCTTGGTTTGTTTGATTGAAGGTGTAGGATGTAGGAGTGTTGGTGCCGTACGTGTTTGCGCTGGGGGTGGTTACACTGGCCCTAGGATTAGCTGAGCTAGGGGTAGCGTGTCCATCTTCATTGAGAACGTAGCCGATTTCGCAACGTTTCAGGTATTTCCGCGTGGTTTGCTCGCCGCCAAAGACAACCGATATTTCTGGTACCAGAGACTCTGGTTCAACAGGTTCCCTCTGCTGGCGACGATCATACATATCCAACATTTTGATCAGGGTATTTCTGCCGTTTACAGCAATCGTAGCGTCGGCTGTGCATAGTTCCAAATCCGATATCACCATTTCAATGAGAGGACGGATGTTATCTGCCGGAAAAGAACGTTCAACAAGCAAAAAGCCTGCCAGTGCCACAGCAGCGGAGAATATTTGGTATGACTGCACGAATAGCTTATGTGACTTGCGAAACTCCTCCACATCCGGGTTACGCATGCTTTGGTACACGGCAAGAACTTCATTAGCAGCTTTGGCACAGACGGCCCACGAGTCACCTATGCGCGTGTGGATGAAGGGACGGTTCATGCGTATGCGCTGCATGCAAATGCAACTATGGAGCAAGTGAAATTGCCACAATATGTAGTCTTGGTGCTCAGGGAGGTTTGCACATTCTCCATTCTCGTCTAGCTGAAAGTACCACGGAAAGTTGCGGGTGAGATTCGCTAGTTCCATATCCACTGATCGCACATACTCGTAGGAAGAAAGGTATTCAAAACCACTGTCGAAGAGCTTGCGCATGATCAGAAATACTTCCGCTCGGAGAATGCTAGCGCTAGTTTCTGTTGGCTCGTCAATTGGTCGGCCCTCGGTAAAGGAGTCGGTGATGTCTTCATCATTGCAGTTTGCGGGTAACGGGATTTTCGGGGCGGGACAATGAATCAGCGGTGTTCGACTCATGCATATTGATTGGAAACTGTTGCTGTTAGTTCTCATTCAAAGCATCAGATAATATGTAGGAATTCACATACGTATCGCAGCAAAACAGCTCCCACCAGATACGCCGTCGCTTTTCTGTTTCGAGAGGGCTAAACCCTGAAACATCCCTATCCAAGTTCAACGCTTGTCCGTTCCGGACTGCCTGGCCGAGTGCTCTATAGTAGTAATACGGTATTAGTGAATGGAACATGGATCAGCGATGTTGTTAACAACGTACGAATTCATAACCTCGATATTCTTGGTAGAAAGCCAGTATAATTGTGTCACGAGGAATGTTTCTAGTTGTGTTAAACAAGGCCGCGATTCATAGTGGCCGGCACTTAGTGCCTGTCTAGAGGCCCAATGCCACAGATGAGCCTTTTTGCGTATGGTATCGGGGTCCAGCCCGACAGCTTTTACATCAGGGAACGGAATGAACACCGCACTGGCGGAAAGGATAGCATATAGGAAAGATAGCCAGATTATATCGATGTCTTTGACTTCCTTATTCCAAAATGCAGCGTAGTCTTCCCGAAATGATGGGGCGTGTACAGAGTGATATACATAGTTTAGCTCGTGGATATAGTAATTGACCATCAGGTCGCATTGGTGCCGCAACGGAAGCATAGAGACCAGCTGTGCGCGCCAAAAGTTGGTGACTTCATTTTCATCCACAGGCCGCTGAGATTGTTCGGCCAGCAGGAGTGGTATAAACGGAGGGAGCGTTGAAACTCCAAATATATTTTGCGGCAAGCTGGCTAAGCTTTGAGCCAGCGGAGTCTCCAATAAAACATTCCGGGCGCTTCTCGATAAGATGGTTTCTGTGCGATCTGTTTCGCGGGAGTTAAGCACGTATGGTGGTTGTGGTTTGCTTTGCAAGGGTGCAGCGGCTGTTACTTGGGGAGGGAGCGGTTGGAAAGGGAGCGATGCAGGTACGGGCGCATGCGCGGTTACGGATGTATGGTCTGGCGGAATATGGCTTTGTGAATGTAGAGGGACACCGCCTCTCATGACAGAGGACGGCGGCGGATTGAGACGACATTGCTCTTCTCTCCGGTAGCGGATACACGAGTGGCAGGGGACATGGCGGTTGCACTTCAGTTTGTGCCTACGACACGGCAGGCAGCTGAGCGCTCGACGCTTTGCCGGCGTCTTCTTCAGCTTCTTAACACCACCAGCATTAACAGCGTCGAGAGCGTCGTCCGAAGGCTCAGCGTCGGTTGCAGGAAATGCTGGAAGCAAGCTGCATTGCATATCACTCGATGTGTCAGTTTGATAAAAAAAAGAAGAGAGGTGCAGTGAAACGGGCAAGGCAAGGCTTCGTTCACGGGCGGACTCACTGCTGCGATGGCTTCCCCATCATCTATGGCGTTGTTCCATGCGCGAAATCGTATGATCAGTGCTTTCCATGACCAACAAACAGCTTCGAGTTGACTTTGCGCCTCCTCTTTGAAGGCAAGAGACCGACGGGACGCTGAAAGGGTTGGACTGGCCCTGCTGACTGAGAGAGACCGAGAGAGATGGACCCTAGGCCGTCTCGTATTCGTCTCTGTTTGGGGATGCACCACCAAAGGTCATGGCCGCTAGTGTCGTTATCTTCCGTCGTCCCCTTTTATGCTTTTCCTTCTTTTTTTGACCTCGAACTCCCAAGGCTTCTCCCTCGATCGGCTCGGGACGATTATTTGCTTCTGCGCTTCTGGTCTCGCCACCAGCCTCGCTGGCGAACTGGCGATGGGACCTAAATGTATGTCACGTGGGATGTACCTGTGGCTTGCCAGCCAGCCTTGCGCGAGGGCGTCGGTATGCCCGCCGTTGCCAGCCTACTTACTTCACTTGTGCGCTCTCGGGGGGCCTCGTCTGCGCTGCCTCTCGCGTGCTGCGCTGCAGATGAAGTCGTTGTTGTTGTTGTTGTTGTTGTTGTTGTCGTCGTCGTCGTCGTTTGTTCGACGCGCGAAGTTGAAGTAAAGAACTTCCTCTTTGGGATGCTTAGTCATGATGCTTAGTCATGTTTCGTATTCGGTCGCGGGGATAGCCAGGCGAGTTTGGCGAGTTTGATATTCATTGAATGTTGGTCACGGCTTGACTCTTCGAACGAGGCAGGCTCCATCATGGAGGCTGCGTCTGCGTCGTGGTCGTCGCCGCTGTCGCTGTTGCCGGTGTCGGTGCTGCTGCGGTGGGGGGGCGTGAGGGCGAGGGCGGCAGCAGGGCTACAGACCCTGCTCGACTCCTGTTACAGCCCCTGTCCAGGGATGCAATGTAAACGGTGCGTATCCGCTGGCGTGCGTATCGAACAGCCTTTATTTTAGCCCTTGCTTGCCAGCTGAAATCTTCCAGGCACAGCTGGCGACAAACGCCATTGGTATGATAGGCAGGAAAACGACGATTAATGATCTCGATATGCATGTACCCGTTTTCGCCACTGTTCGCCAGCCTTTTCCTCCTTCAAATTTCCTTGCAGACCACAAGAGTCTCAAGCGCGGACGGCCCAAATACCGCTCTTTCGATCGCGAATTTTACTCGTCTCGGTTTCTGTGAATCGTCTCCCTGGTGGTGTAATATCCTCAACTTGGTCTTCGACCTAGCTACCCCGCGATAGCGTCATTCAAAGACGATAGAAGCTCATGTTGGCCGATCAGATAAGATGGATGAACGGCGGGGCAAGGATACGGTGAATATCTTTTTTTTCATAGGCCTTCGGGGGTTGGAAAGGAAATCCATGCATCAAGCCAATAGTTAATCAAGATGTTCTGTTTAGCTGTTGGCAACTGGTCTGGCTCATCATCCGTGGCTTTCTTTTTCCTCCTGTTGCTCTCTCATAGGCTAATGAACTAGCAGTTTGCCTGCTCGGAGTGATGGGATCCATGCCCAGATGCGTCCATTTTTCGATGAAGATCAGATAAGATTGCCAAGACCAGATAACTAAGTTAAACGATTTCTTTTTTAAGCTTTAAAAGAAGGCTTTCTCGCCCTTTTAGCGAGGACTTCGGACTCGTCAGATGCAGGCCTATTTTACATAGTCATATATCGTAGGGCCATAATTGGACCCAGGCCAAGATGATTACTCCCCCTGTCCGTGTCGTGGCAGAGATCCGGTGCAGCTAAGTGTATGTTTACGGTCTGTGGCCGCCAAGTTGGGTCACCAACTAATCCGTATCAACTGCTATATTGCATCAAAGATTTAGCAATGATACGGTCAATCGTATTTTACTCCATTTCAGCCTTATCTCTTGCTTCTGATGTTATTCGTAACGAATTTATCTTATATACCAAAGACATGCTTACTAGGAATCTCGCCCGCCTTTGTGCCAAGAATACCTCAATTCCTTCTTAGTTACCCTGCCTGACTAGTTATGATGATTTCGACCGTGATACAAATATAGCTAATATCTGTCTCTAATACGAGATAGCTCACCTTGGCTGGATGGTAAATTTGATAGTAAATTTGAGAATCCTCTTTTACAATGGCACTTAAACATCACGAAAGCTTGAAATGATGGCATACTTTTCATTGCAGTGTTATATTACTAGCTATTCATCACTTTGACACAACTGGTAACTAAAAGCAGCACAGGCAGGTTTATGCCGTTCAAACTGCTAGCCCAACGCCCTTGTGCATTCCGTTATTGCATACTTAAAACACCCCTAGGAACTAGGCTCCTTGCTCGCTCGTCCAAGAGAGAGTTTGAGTACAGACACTCAATGAGATTCAGCATCTATAAAACCAAAACGGATAACATAGCCGTGCCTTGTTTAATGACATAGGCAGCAAAACCTAAAATTCATGAATCGGTGAACTTTATTACCACTGTGGCGCGGTTTTCAACTTTGAAATTGTTTTAATTCCGTGAGCAAGGGAACTAAGTTTTTCCCAGTACAACTTAATCAAACTGCTCATGCTCAAACCAGTCAACCTGCATCAAGCAAACAATTTGGGCCTGCCAGTTGCTTCGAAGGGCGGGGGGTGTAGAGAAATGCAGTCGCTTATGTGTTGAGTTCGAAGCCAACAATATAAGGTTACTTAAATGAAAACAACTCACTTCAACATCTTCCCATCACCAAGGTCATAGAGTGATTTCCTCTTTCCTTCGCCTGATCTCAATCTGTGTGCTGTTTGCCATATAGGCTCCACCGGGCATCATGTAAGGTGTGGTATTACTTTTTTCAGTTAGCCTGAAGTCGTATTTGAGCAGAATGTGGCAGAGAATCTTGATTTCGTCAGCGGCGAAGAATCGGCCGGGGCAAGCATGGACACCATGTCCGAATCCAAGATGCTCAGGGCTGGTGGCAACTAGGTTGGCAATCCGATCTTTCTCGCGGTCTCCTTTCATTTTGAGGAAGCGATATCCATCAAACTTGTTGGGTTCTGGGTACACGGATTCATCCCAATGAACATGGCTGGATACAGATATGCTTGTTCCCTTGGGGACGACTAGGCCATCTGAAAGAGTGATACTTTCCTTTACATATCGCTTCATAGAAACTAACGGAGCTGTGTTAGGGGTATGGGATACGCCAAGGGGAGTAAACAGAGAAAGGATGTTGACCTACGAAGACCGGCGGGCTTGAGTCTTTGACTCTCCTTGATAACACTATCCAAAAGCTTCATCTGATATAGGGCCGTAGTATCCAACTCACGACTTCCGAGGACGCTGATTATCTCTTCTCTGAGAGGCTGAATGAGTTCTGGGTTGGCACAGATGTCGTAGAGGGCTTGAGTGCATAGGTCAGTGGTGGTATGGATCGATACAAAGGACAAGCTGAGCTGTGCGATCGCAGCATCGAATGACCGGCCACCAGATTTCTCATCAAGCCATGCAATGGCATCCTCATGCTGCCTGGGGGGCTTGCCTTGACGTCGAAGCTCGTAGTTCTCCGCATGTCGTGCATCGATAACTGGTTGGATGAGTCGTCGCGCATCTGCAACCTGTTGGCGCAGGCGTTGACATGGCGGGAGGAACCACTGTACGATAGGACGGACGTATGTAGGCCAGGTCATAAGCTCGTTAACGGCAATGAACAAGTTGATCGTATACTCAGCCGTAATCCTCAGCCATTCTTCATTGCGGCAAAGTTCCTCGCCAAGGAAAACCCTGGACGACATACGGGCCACAATCTTCACAATGGTATCTTTGATGGGAATTTCATGCCATTCTGACCAAAACAAGGTTAGCTTTCTGTCAAAGAGCCTGCCAAGAAAAGGGGTAATTCGGTTTTATTCAAGTACCTTCATTGTCCGTAAACTTATCACGAATAGTTTCTGTTGCCTCTCTGGACACAGCTTGCTTAAGATGTACTGTATTACCCATAGTCAGTAAAGGACAAAACATGATTCATCTATAGGGTGAGTATCTTATATCCTTACCAGGCAGCCGTGAAAGTTTGCTTCGAATGGTCTCTGTCAAAACCTGGTTCTTACCAGCCTCTTCAATGTGGTGGAATGTTGAGAGATGGGTAAGGAGAGTCTATACAATGAGTTAGCGCTAACCAATAAGAGACAACCAAGGGGTTCAGGGGAATAGGAGAGTGGCTAGTTACCGGAAGAATAGCTTTGGCAAAATCGAGATGAGGGTCACTCTTTAGTTCGTTGGCGTAGTCTGCTGAAAGAATGATATCCTTGCCAATGGCAGTGTTGATGTGGAATGCGTTTTTATACTTGGAGGTACATCAGCCGTCAGCTCTAGTTAAAGCTAGCTAGCTAGCCACCCAAGGCACAATGAAGAAAACAACGAAAGCATCGAACAATATTAAGGAGAAAGTATAATTCTTGCCGCAACGCACCTTGGCAAAGCCAGACAATAACATCTGTTTCGGGTTGGACTTGTCAATGTGCAGGGGGAACTTCGAATATCTCTGGCGATGGCTGACGAGTCGAGCAACATACGAAACGACGAGCAGGACGACGAAGGAGAGAGCCAGGTCGACCCAGTAGGCACTCCCGGACTGGATAAGTGCTTCCAACATGGTGAACAATCGACTCGCTAGCCAGTTGGCTGGTTAACCGACGATTCTGTTGCGATAAGAAAAGGGAAGGGTTGCGTAACTAGTCGTAGTGATGCAGACTGCAGTTTGATGAAAGTGGCCAGCCTTGGGGGAGAGGAGACTTGCTTTTATATAATAACATAATATATAGATAGACGGCTCTCCGGATAGCTACATCGTATAGCTAAACGGAGATGTGCCACTTGGACAAGTTGGGTTAACGCTGAGCATGCATATAGGTAAATAATACACCCATAGTCCGAATTTAAAAGGGGATCGGATGGCGCATCCCCCGCGCTCATGTCAGTGAAACAACCTAAATCAAACCGAACCCGCAAAAAATCTGTGCCGTGCTTGCCCCTGAGTCGTTGTAAGCACGATCAATCTATTTGCTTTTCTCTTCGGTTTTCATTATTATTATTAGCTCTGGGCCTCCGGTTTCCCTCTTGGAAGGTTGATGGGGTCATC